AGATACTGCCAAATTGCAAGAGTTAAAGGGAAAAAATGAGAGGGAGAGATTCATTGCAACACAAGACATTATTTTAGAAGTAAATAAGGTGTGGTTTGATTCAGTGCTGAGTTTAGAGGCCATCCTGGGACTGTTGGGGATGGTGTGACAGAGGGGAGCAGGGAGGATGAGCAGCAATATATACAGAAACATGAGACAACCTCAGCAAAGGAGGAACTGCAGCATTTCCTAGCAGAGGGAAAATGGGAAAAGATTTACTGCTTGGTGAACACATCACAGGGCAGGGGGAAGTCTGGTGTCAAGATGGACTAAGTGACATAAATGGAGATGGGGGAGAGGAGTACCCACCTCCCCTTCTGAGATTTGAGTTACCTCTTATGGTCTTTCGAGGCTCCTTTTGGGGGGCCTTGACTTTTCCCCACAAGTGTTAACAGAGAAATGCTTTACCTTTTTTTAGTCCCTCTTCATAGGAACCAGTAAGTCGAGCTTCTCTATTGACTCACTGTACTACTGTTTTTAGGGACTTGCATGTGAAATGTCAGTGTTTTAAGATGACCTGTAGTATCTAAATACAGGCCTGTTACTGCCACTGCAACGCACAAAAATAGGTTTTGTTAAGGCGTGTTTCAGAGCAGCCTGCTCGGTGCAAAATGCATCTCTGTTGGCTCAGATGATCAGAATTACTTAAATAATGACCTTGTACAGGCATGTGAGCTTTTTCTGTGACTTCTGAGGAAAGACAAAGGCTACAAACTTAGCAGTGTTGGCTTTCCCAAAGGTGTCTGCGGTGGTTAAGTATGATAAGGCAATGAAACTGTCAAGCTTATTTTGTAAAAAGTTCTGCATGTAACTAATACTCAACTTTCCCTGGAAGAACTGAGCTACGATACATTTTCTGCAAAATGATAGAGGCTTTTCCTCAGTCCACTTCACAAGGTTACCAGGTTAATGATTAGTTAAGGAGAATGTGTTTGTATCAGCCAGTGCTGCTGGCAAGGAATACTGTTAAGCTGTATTAATGACTTTATTTGTAGTCTGCCTTTTACTGTTGATTCATGTTGACCCCTCCTTTCTTCTCAGGCCTCCAGGCTGTGGGTTTTTTTTGTTCTTTGGGTTTTTTTGTGTATCTTTGTTACTGTTTTTCTTTATACTGGTGAAATCAAATGCTGCTTCTTAGCAAAGTTTTTATTTCCATGATCAAGATCCTATGGCTTAAAATATTTTTTAAACACTTGATTAGGGTGGATTTAGAACAATCTAAAATACAATCATCAGCAAAGATTGATGCTGTCCTGCAGCACAAAGAGGATTATTTGTGATTTCATTAGTTTTAGTATAGAGACTGAAAGCAATTTACAATCAAATATAAATTGTAGAGATTGCAGTCTCACCAAACTGGTTTGGATGAGAAGGTAGTTGCATAGAGTGGAAGCTGACCAAGAAGTCCAAAAGAAAGGCAGACTGTTTCCTGAAGAAGAAAATGTTTAAGGGAGTGACTCTAGTGATAAGTGCTGTTTAACTCCTTTTAAGGCAGAACCCTTACCTATGTAGTACACAGGGATGAAATTCATAAGCTACTCTACAGAAGTTTACTGCAGGGACATGTAATCCCAAGGTACTGTAGTTGCTCTGATAGGATTTCTCATAGGAAGGTGGAGTCATGGTCAAGATGTGTTCATGGTCAGTATGAGGGAGGGGTTAGCAAACAGGAATTTCAAGGTCTAAATCTGACTTCTAACAAGACAGACAAGTTTGCATTGGCAAAGAGGCAATTGGTGCAGTTCTGGATTCTGTGTACAAAAGCTCTACACTGCAGAAAGTCTTCCCCATGCAACTTTTGTTTCAGGATGCCTTGCCAGAAATGAAATGAAAGCAAACTGAAGGGAAATGGAAGAAGGAGGCCTTCTCCCTGCAAACTACAGCAAATTTTCACTATTTTCCCATTAAAGGGTTTAGCTAAACTGTTTTGGTTACTTATCTTCAGTACTCCAGCTTGGACAGCTGTAGTTGAGTGCCTTGCTCAAGTGAATTAGGGGACTTATTTAATTTCACTCATTTATTATGAACTCGGCATATAAAGGCAGTGCCATATCTGGTTGGGTTTTTTCTGTTTTTAGAACTTGTCTACCCTTAGATTTCAAGACTGAGGCTGAAAGGCTGGGAGGTGTCACTGCTCTAGTCTGAAACTGCAGGTGAACTTCATAGTAATTGTGGCTTAGAGCTTGCAGTGGCTTTGCATCACAGCTGTAGTGCACAGATTAAATGCAGTGCTCTGAAAAGGGCACCATTGGTAATGCAAAGTTACAAGTGACTAATGGGGGGGTGATATATAAAATAAATGTAGCTCCAAAGCTAATAGGTTAAAATCTACTGTTGAATTTCTGCTGAGAACTAAATTATTTCAATCTGATTTTAGGTGTCTTTGTATCCAGTGTTGTTCTGGTCTTACAACAGCGAGCACTTTTCAAGTTCTATATGATTGCCTCGGCGTTTCTGCTGGCTGCGACCTCAGTGTTGGTGAATTACTATGCTTCTTTGCACATAAACTCCTACAGTGCCTACTACACCGCCGCGTTCGGAATTCAGATCTTCCCACATAAAGGACCTTCACTATGGATGGCACTTTCCATCCTTCAGCTAACCTTTGGGATTGGATATGTTACACTGCTAAACATGCAGTCCATATACTCTCAACTCATCATCCTGGATATACTGATTCCTGTAATTGGCTTGATTGTTGAATTACCTTTAAATGTCCGGCAAGTACTAGTTTTTATTTCAGGCCTAGTTCTGACACTAAATACCACAGCCATTTTAGTTACCAAAATTAAATGGTTCTATTACTCGGTACGATATGTTTATCTGCTGGTGAGGCACATGTATCGCATTTATGGATTACAGCTATTGATGGAAGATACATGGAAAAGGATTCGGTTCCCAGCTGTCCTGCGTGTCTTCTGGCTAACAAGACTTACAGCACAAGCTGTGGTATTAACATATGTTGTAAAGATGGCTGAAAATAACACAGAAGAAAAATTCTTCTTGATATCGTGGGATAACTGTTGGGAACTGATTTGCAGCTTGATCATAAGTGGGTGTGACTCCACTTTAACTGTGTTGGGCATGAGTGCCGTCATTTCCTCAATAGCTCATTACTTGGGACTTGGTATCCTGGCCTTCATTGGATCGACGGATGAGGATGACAAAAGGCTTGGGTTTGTAGCACCCGTCTTGTTTTTCATTTTGGCTCTGCAGACTGGTTTAAGTGGACTGAAACCAGAAGAACGATTAGTTCGCCTGAGTCGAAACATGTGCCTTTTGCTGACTGCAGTCCTGCATTTTATCCACGGAATGACAGACCCCGTGCTGATGTCTCTCAGTGCCTCCCACGTGTCATCGTTTCGCAGACACTTTCCTGTACTGTTTGTCTCTGCTTGCCTTTTCATCCTTCCAGTTCTGCTCAGTTACATCCTCTGGCACCACTATGCACTAAATACTTGGCTTTTTGCAGTCACAGCGTTCTGTGTAGAGCTTTGCCTAAAAGTAATAGTTTCTATCACTGTTTATATATTGTTTATGATTGATGGCTACTATAATGTGCTATGGGAAAAACTTGATGATTATGTCTATTATGTTCGCTCAACTGGCAATATTATTGAGTTTATATTTGGAGTAATCATGTTTGGGAATGGAGCTTACACAATGGTTTTTGAATCAGGAAGCAAGATTCGCGCTTGCATGATGTGTCTACACGCGTATTTCAACATCTACTTGCAAGCCAAGAACGGCTGGAAGACTTTTATAAATCGCCGGACTGCTGTTAAGAAAATAAACTCACTTCCAGAGGTGAAGGGAAGCCGGTTACATGAAATAGATGATGTCTGTGCAATCTGCTACCATGAGTTCACCACCTCCGCACGCATTACCCCGTGCAACCATTACTTTCATGCACTTTGTCTTCGGAAGTGGCTGTACATTCAGGACACGTGCCCGATGTGCCATCAGAAAGTGTATATTGAGGACAAAGAAAATGCCAATATCTCTAACAACAACGGGTTTGTAGCACCAAATGAAAATCCTGTACGGGTTGCAGAAGAAGCTGCTGATGCTGAAAATGAATTAAATGAAGATAATGAGAGTTCTGACACTGATGAGGAAGACGGCGACTGTGTGGCACAGCACTTGAATGAGACTCTTAATGTTGACTCTAACTCTCTTGGTGATTAAGATGTCCTTTACTAAGCCGTGAGGTATTTGTTTAAGATTGACTTCAAAAGAATAAAAGTATCACTTTGTAGTTATTGTACTTAAGCACAACAGCAGTATCTCAATGTCGAGTCTGTGAATGGTGGTTGTTTACTGTGGTGTGTGCTACTGTAAATATACCTCTAATTTTTGCTGGTCTCTTTCATGACCACCTTAAAGTTATGTACATTATTGTACATGGAATAAAATGTTTTCACATTTTTAAGATGGTTGGGAAAACACTCTTTAATTGATGTAGTGATAATGCTGTGCCAAAGACTGTATACCAGTAATCCCTGATCAATGTCTTCTGGATGCAAATGAAAAATACTGGTGAAAACAGACTGTTCAGCGGGTCAAATAGGAAATGAAAACCCTGAGCCAAAGCAGCTTTACTTATAAATTCAGTATTAGCAGAGCTTTATCGCAAAAAACTAGTGAGCTGTGTTTTTAAAAAATAAAATAATTAAAAACTTAGGCTATTAGACTTAATGTTACAGCATTTGTGTATATGGAACAAAAGGCAACACTGCTGAGCTTTCTGGGGAAGCAGCAAAGCACATGGCATGGATGTGTTCGACCCCTCTGAACTGCAGCAGTAGCTTGAAGTGCTCAACGCACCAACGCAGCAGCCTGGTGCTCATCCTGTGATGCATCCAGATGTTAACAGGAATTGCAGGCTTGGGCTGGCCTGGAACTTGATCCTGAATCTTGACGAAAGGGGAACAGGGCTGAGAAACTGCACAGATGCAGACCACCTTTTCAAAAGCAGCTTTAATCTTGTACCATAAAAAAAACCAAAACCCACTACATATTGGCTTCCATTGATTAGGATTTGCAGGTATGATGATTTTTAAGTTTTTGCAATATATTTACTGAAGTTATGCTGAATAAATGTAAGAAAAACAACTTTATATATTTGGAAAGAAGACTTTAATAGTGTTGTTATATAGAGTGTTGGCCAACTCAAGCGGGTCATCTTCTCTTACTGCCGCCATTATTTCCAGTATTTGTCTAAAAAAGAAAGATTGATATTAGAAGACTGAAACCCAGTACTGAATGTACTTCAGACTGCTGCATGTGTGTGTACAAGTCACCAAGATTAACCTGGAATAAAAACCTGTGCTGAGAGCAGTAGGGCAGGGTGCTCAGATATGCAAATAGCTTCACTTTTAAGTCACTAACTGCCATTTCCTTTACACTGAACACTGGTTGCTCACTGGTACAGATTCATCTTTGCTCTTTTGACTCTTGTTTGGAGGTAATTAAACAGCTTTCTGTTTCGAAGAAAGTGTCATTTTGTGGGTGTCTTTATCAATGGTCTTCATTTTTCAGACTAAAACTCATTAGCCTTTCAAGGCTAAAGCTGCACTATGAATAGACTGGTCTATGGCAAAGATTAAATTCCAGATACATCCTTAACACAGCTGCCAAAGTAACTTGCTCCTACTTCCCTGTTCTCTAGCTTAATTGTGGTTAATTTGGTCAGATATTTGCCATAAACACTAAATGAGCATGGTCTTGATACAAGCCAGGAAAAGGAGGCAAAAGAAAGGGGATGGATACTGTTAACCAAGCCACGAGCTCTTCTCTGCACTTATTTTCTTGATTGTGTATCAGTCTTTCTTAAAAAAAGGAATATTCTCAACACTTCCTAAGATGTGTCATACTTTAATTTTTCTAGCAGTAGAATGGAACTTCACAGTGAAGAGCAAGAATTTGAAGCTTGGTAGGGTTTGGTGGGTTTTGGATCTTGCCTCTAAACTGACGCAATAGCTAAACTTCTGTTTAGTAAGGAAGAGAGAGGAGAAAAAGTTGCTCTTAATAATTGCTGGAATGCAGATGCAGAATTAGGAAAACAGCTTCTTGATTTAAGGGGCTGTTACAAATGAGATGGGGTGAGATCAGGCCTACGCAGAAATAAGTAACAAATACCAAAGAATTTCACCCTGGAAGACTCTCCTGGTAGGGTTTACATATCTCTTCTCACTTGGATGCAGTAGAGTGCCATGTGTTACTGTAACACTGTGTATGTGAAACTGCTGAAGGAGAAAAAAGGTTCTTGTGGCTAAAATTTTTTATAAAATAGCTTCCAAGGGGAGTAGTGCAGTTCTAAATATATATATATATAAATGAAGCAGAAATATCACCACCAAAATTGAAAGGTGTCCAGCACCAGTAAAAGACAAGTGGAAAATTCCTCCTGCCAGTTGAGCTGTATTATAGTATATATACCCTAAACATTAAATACACTTTATGGCATGAGTAACTTTCTCTCACACCAGATTTTGCTACTTCAGAAGTCACAAGATATCAATTCTGTTATCATTCTTCATTTTTCTTAAGGTTTAACAGATTCTCAAGTTACTAATTTACAATTAGTACTGCTTGTAATAAATGTTAAAGGAATGGTAATTTTGAAGTAAGGTTCAAACAAACAAGAATTTGTTTTATAAAGGAGAGCAAAAGCATTTTTGTACCAATCTAGGACAGATTCTGTGCATTTCCAATTCTAGGGTTTCTGAAATAATCCTGTAGGCTACAACTAAGGCAGGAGACAAAGATGTGGGGGTGTTGTTAACACACAGGCTTGCTGAAATAGTAACAGTAGAGGCCCTCTGCTTGTGATCAGAAAACTGTTTTCAGTTAATCTCTTCCCCCACTCCAAAATCATGGACTGACCCTAGAAAGTCTTAAAATAGCCCTTCCATGCTAACATGTGCTCTTCACATAAATTGGTGGATAAAACCAATTTCAAAGAGTGTTACAATTGACCTAATTGGACAAAACGTATCTGAACACTAGGAGCTGTCACTATGTAAGCTTAAACTGTGCTTTTAGTATCATCAGTGGTTTTCTAAGTTTCTTCATGTCTCTCCAAAAGGAGAATTCCCTTCAGTTCTCAAACTTTAGAGACCTTGCTGATCCTGTGCAGTATTTCAAAAGTTAGTTTGAAATAGGGAATTCTGAAAATTCGCACATTTCATCTATCAGTGCTATTTAAAGCAGATAACTAAACATTTTCACTAAAACGATACATTTTCCTGCTTTTCACATCTCTGTGGGGAACTGGAAAGGAGGTGTTTCTGTACTTTTCAACTTTGTCCATAAGCCCCTGGAGTTTTCTTTCACTACTCTGTATGTTGGCTGCTGTCAGTCATGTCTGAACTGTGGCACAGCAGCAGAAGGAAGAAACAGCCCTGACCAAACGTATGTTGTGGCAGTTGGTGCCACAGGCCCTGAGACAGGAGAAGTGGCACAGGCACTGCTGGTGCCTCAGCACTGTCCCCTCTGGGGGACAGTTCCCTGATCCTCAGGGCTGGATCAGTTTTAAAAATTACCTGAACAACAACTGAATGAAATGAATATTTAAGTCAGGTTATTTTACAGAGTTTAACCTCTTCTCCACTGTATCAAGTGAAAGGACAAAAACAGTACTGGTTTCACTTCCAGAGAGCTTTTTACATCCGGAATTGCTGAAGTGAGAAAATTAGGACTTTGTAATTTTTTCCACAGCCTATAAAGTGAAACCTTGCACAAGTTTCAGTACATTTGGAATGAATTTCTATTTACTACATTACTAGTAAACTGATTCTTTTATATTTTTTTTCATGTGAGATTTGAGGTATTTTAAATAATAGTACAGTAGTACACTTACATTATGTGGCAGGGTTCATTTCTGTCCTTCAAGCAGTGCCCTTTTTCCCATTTCTTTTTTGTTGGAAATGTAGTCTTAATGTATTTTGATCCAGCGTGAGTATTTTTCACTCCACACCAAGGCGCATCTAGTTTCATATGAAAAAAAGGAGTATGCAATTGTTTGAGAATAGCATGAGATACTTTAATCAACTGCTTCTACAGACAAAAGTTCTTGCAATCTTCTTCTAGCAGTGACTTCCAATTCAAAATGAAATTTAAGAGATTTGGACAATTTAACATCTTTACAGTCCTTGCATTTTTATACCATTACCTTCAAGATTTTACCTTTGAAAAAAATCAGCAATAGTACACAGTACATAACACTAGCACTAATTTCCCCTGACATGATAGAGATAGCCAGATACACTGCCTGCATTCCACAGAAACTTCCTGTATAACAGGTCTGTACTTCATGTGCAAATCAACTTAAGGATTTAGGCAGTTTGTGGTTTTCCTTTCTCAGATTCAGAAATTAAAATAAATTCTGTAACAGCCAGTTATTGATAACTGAAATAAACATGAAAAAAGAAAACATGGCATCCCTAGTCAGTCCATTAAAATGACAGCTCAGGAGGCTGAAAGGGGAATTCAACCATTCTTCCACCTATTCCATTTAAAGAGCAGTTGTTTCCAAGTGCTGTTACTGCTGCCAGTGGCAAGCTCATAGCCATTTCCCTGTGCTTGGCACATCTCCAGCAAGCTACATTTTAAAAGATATTCAAGCAGGATTCTGGTACATTTAAAAATCTGGGTTTGTCAATTTGTCCTTTTCATCTTCCTCTGCAATGTCAGGAACTGACACAGCAGCTTATCCCTTCCAGCAAAAGGCTGAAAAGGAGTATTTCTGGAGCCTGTAAACTGCTTTCCCAAGTGGAGAAACAGCCAGTCCTTTTCCTACTCTGAACTCCTTAGGTCTCAATTCTCCTTTATCGTTGCTATACCAGCATATTTCATTGCCTAATAGTGATGAAGTCACAAACTGAACAAGATACAAAATCTTACCAGTCTCTATCATTAATCGTTCACTAGGAATCGATTTCAGTGTTTCCAAGTTGGCTTCTGTTTTCAGTGAACTAGAAAATAAAGAGTTAGGTTAAAGAAAATATAAAACGTGTATAAAAGTAATTACTTTGCCTGTTGAAATGTTTTGGAGCAAAGGCAGCTTTGGAAATAATTTTGTTAATGAGTAAGGTTTGCTTCGTTTCTTAACAATGCTGCCTGTAAATTCAAACTTGCAGAAAACAGCAATTTTTGAGTTACTGGGAGAAGCCATTTCACCCCAGTAAGCTGCTGAATCCCTGCCCGGGTGTCCTTCCTGGCCTGGTGACAGCCCCTGCACCTCACAAAGTGGTGCTGGCTGGCGCTGGGCCAGGTGACTGCTGAGAATTCCGGCTGCATAACCAGGAGATGCAGTGCTCAGGTTACATTTGCATTTCTCCTGAGTTTGACATGGCAGCTTAAAATCAGGCTATTTTTTAAAGGCTCCTCAGGACTCCTTCCACTTCAACAACCTTATTTATTTACAAACAAGGACTGACCTCAGGGACAGTAGACTGGACCTAACACTAGATTAGCTCACTGAGCTGCAAGGTAAGAACTTTTTATGGCTAACAGGCTAATGAGAGTAATTCTAAATCTGTCAGATGATTAAGAGTCTAGTGAGCTTTGAAAGCTTGACCTCATTGTTTAAAAGAAAGCAATGAGTTCACTACAGCTGCTATTTTTGAACAGTTGTATTTCTTATAAAGTACTTACCAGCCATTTATTCCAATATAAAGATCCAAATCTATTAGAGCTGCTGCTTGTTCCTTTGTGCCATCAAAAGAATGTACCTAGAACATATATAAATATAGATGCACAGATACATACAAATATAAATGTGCTTTTATTAAAACTCCAATAATTTAAAAGTATGTATTAGTTTTTATGTGCATCAAATACCTTTAACAGTATGCACTACACATCAGCACAAACATAAAGATGGGACATGGCTCAATTGATTCTGAATTTGGGCAAAGTTCAGGCTGAAGTCATCTGAATACTGTACTGAAAGTGGTTACATGCTTTATTAGTGATAAATATGGGCAGAAAAGGCCTATCCAGAGATACTCTTTTGGCCCAGGAACTTCCTGTAGCTGATAGCTGGGAGATCATATTCAGGAAATAATCCTGTGCATGATAAATTTTCACACTCTTTCCTCACTATTCCCTACAGGGCACTGTCAGGGACACCATAAGAGTAGCAGTTTGTTCTCCACAGATTTAGTCCACTGGAACTAGAGAGACAGTCTGTTTGGTCATTCCAGGGCCTGGAGAGGCAAGTGGAGGGTCACAGTTTAATGCATCTGGGAACTGCAGCTTCTCAGCCTGAGTAAAGAGCCTGTTTGCTCTGCTTCCCCATGCTCTGAGGAGGACAGACAGTTGCAGAGGATTCCTGCTCATTTCTCCCCTAGTTACAGGCTGTGCAGAAAAAAGAAAGGAAGGAAGGAAGGAGAGACTTTACAGCATTATGTAAGAGTGGAACATGCAAAGTACTGAGCATGGGCAAGGGTTTTGTGGTAAAAAAGGGCAAACCTGGGGACTGAGATATTCTTGTAGGAGGTGTGGTCTGATATTAGGATAGAATAATTCAAGCATTTATTACTTTTGGAAAACCCAGCCATAATGGAAACCTGAAACAGCATTGCTGGACTTCCTTAACCATTTCACCCAAAGCTTTTCCTGTTATTGAATTAAAATTCTTGTTTTGAATTAAGTAACATGATCTGAATATCTAAAGACATAAAGTAATCAAAAGTTACATCTGGATCTAACTTAAAAGTGATATCTAACGTCAGAAGCAAATGTTTGAGGTTGTGGCCTCCACTGGGAACATGCATCTAAATTATCTGTGGTCTGAATGCATTGCAGTTACAGACACTGACGAATTGGGAAAAGGCCAATGTCAATTATCAGGTGCTTAAACTGTCCTTCTGACAGGCCAAGAAAAACTGCTCACGTCAGCTGCAGAGCTTTTCTCAGCCTATCTTCTTACCTTGCAAAAAATTCTGTTGAATAAGCAGTGGAAATAAAAATACTAGAAGGGACTGATAATAATAACTGATTAATAATAACTTAATTCATGTAACAAGAAGCCCACACAGATTCCATGACAAACAAGAAATTGCATACTAGGCAACAATATTCACACACATGTTTGTAAAAATGAATGCTACACTGAAGTCCATACTTACCACCCCTCCTACAAATCTATCTCGGTTTCTTCTCATTATCTCTATGAAATAAATAAAAATGTAAGACAGCTTTATAACAGACAAAGGTGAAACATTTTCATATTCAGAATCTGCTCTGAATATGAAATTCTCAAACAAAACCCACCTAAAAATTCAGAATGTGAGTTTCTGCAGTGGAGAAACATGGGCAGTTGCATCTGTTCTGACAAGTCAAACTGTTTCTCAAAATACCTGTAAAACAAAAATCACCTTTAAACAGAAACTCTGTGTAAGAGCAAATAAAGTCAGTAAAAGTTTTTTCCAGCTTCTGTCCTCCAGAACTAAACACAGAATTAATGGATTTGCCATTCAAAAGCTCCTATCTGCCAAGGACTTAAAAGAAACTCTTTCCCATGGTATACTGCTGTAGCAGTGGTGTGTGCTGGAAGACAGGTTAGTGGCCAAGAGCATCAGTACTGCAGGAGGCACAATGTATGTATATGCTGAGCATGTGCTCTTGTGTAATGTGGGAGCTGGAGTTGGGGTTTATTTATTTATTTTTAGTGAAACAGAAACTGACTGTTCTTTCCACAAAGTTTTGAAATGTCAGGAATGGGAGACCACTATTTCAAGAAGGACTTATAAAAGCAGTGAGGGATCACTATTTCTAAAGCCTCAAATGGCCAAAGCTGCACCAGAGCTTCTGACCTGGAAGTGACAATCCAGGGAGGGCAGTCTTTCCTCTCTTGGGGTGGAACAAATACCAATATTAGACATCACACTTCTGCCCCATTCTACCTATTATCTTCACCTGTTTTCCGTCCTCTCCTTTGTGTGCCTGCATCCTTTCCTTTTCACTCCTTTTTATCCCTCTCCTACCTTCTACTCTTAGAGTTGCCTTTGAAGGAGTAGGAACAGCAAGGCCCCATCCTACCAAGGCACACTAAAACCTGGGCAGGGGGAAGGTAACCAGGTAGCCAAGTTCCCCAATGCAGTTTCCAAAGGAAACTAATTAGCACTGAACTAACCTGTGCTTGTCATTTGCAGCTAGTTCTGCTCTGTGAGCATTACCACTGAACATCTCTGCTGTCACCAGGCATGCAAATCACCAGTGCTCAGGAAACACAGTAGAGGAACTTAGGCCTGGCACAAGGCCAACAGTGCCCAGGTGACTCAGTGTCCACATGTAATCGGAAAGAGGATGTTACTTGGACGAGGCAGGAGAACAACACTGCCCGTCCCAGCAGGCTGGGGCTCTGTGCACATACTGGACTTCTTCAGGTGTTGCTGCTAAAAACAGTTCAGGGCACTGGGGAATTCCCACTTTCAGTTATCAGCCACATTTCAAAGGCAAACTTCAGTGACCACATACTGCTGTGTATGAGCCACATATCAATCAGGAGAAAGTGGCAGCAAACCATTAGTTTGATTTACCATTTTCCTAAAGAAACCCCAAACAAACAAAAAAAATGTGCAACTGTTCATTTCATTTCATGCCATTTTCACTATTTTTTGTATATTACAGGTTGATATTTCTTAGATCAAAGTTACCTTCCCTGTTAATCAATGCAAATCTTTGAGATAAAACAGGTGAAACAGAAATCAGCTGAAAACTGGCATGAAAATGAGAATTACACCTACTTTCAATCTTTGTCTAGACACCATGCTTAGTTTAGCCTGTTTGACTAAATATAAATGAATTGCAACTCATGATTGCTCTTGTGGTTAAATAGCTACAATTGCCTGATTTCTGGTGTGTTGTTGTTTTTTTTTTTACCAGAATACTTGTTTCATATGGGAATGAGATTTTAGCAACTGAGCTGCAAATAAGCACCCTAAGTAACCTAACTGGCCAATTTCAATCTAATTTTGAGAAGGGTAGTGGCCTTGAAAGTACAAAGTTTAGTGTCCCTACAAATGAAAAGACAACTCAAGCTTCTTCCATTCCTAGCAACATTGAAGCCCAACACATGTTGCTCCTTGGCCTATCAAAGAGAAAGGGGAGATGAAGTTATTGAAGAGAAAAAATAATAATAAAATAAAAATTTAAAAAACACAAACCCTAGAAAAGCATGAAGAAACCAAATAAAGTGAATAGAATGATAACAAAATTATTCAGTAGGAAACTAAACCTGACCAGTTCCAGTGCTTAAGGAATAACCTTTTCTCTTGGGCAAATTGACTGTCACTGAACATATGCTGATTCTATGTTGCTTCTGGAAAAGTTTTGAGAATAGAGAAAAATTCTGAGAATAAAAAGTTCTTAGGAATGCTACAAATGATTTTCATCTTTATTAGATTATCACCTTTACTAGCTTTTAAATTCAAGAAAAAGGATTGAAAATAATGTTCATTTTTTACAGGTGAAAATTATCCAAAAGAAAATGCAGCATAACTAATTAGAAAAATAATGATTAAGTATCAAAGCAGAGGTCATGCTCCGATATTACCCCCTGGGAAAATACCATATTGCTCTTCTGTGGGGGATCTCTGCAGCTGCTTGCCAGCTACCCCTGTGACTGCTACACCTGAACTCTGGAGCAGCTGAAATCCAGTGAAGTGCCTCCGTGCATTTCGCATTTCACCCTCCTTTGTTTAGTTCACTTATCAAGCCTGTCACCTCTTTCCTCTAAGCTCAGTTTCAGTGCACCCAATGAGAAATCACTACTGGTCTTCAGCTGCAGTCTATTGATACTTTTTTTTTTTCTCCCAATAACATCAAGGCAGTAAGCATCTTAAAATCTGATACTCCATCAGTGTTCATCAGAGAAAAGAAACAGGTTATGCTCCAAGGTGTGCTTTGCTGAACTTCGTGTATGCTGAATTCTACCAGGAAATAAAGTCCTGTTCTCCTTGCTGAGTATTTCACTGTAGCACTATGAAGAAATTAACTCCACCTCCTGCTAACATGTAGCAATTAGAAGAAAACACAACCAGCCACTGCCCCCCAGTGACTCATTTACTCAGAACAGTAATGTGCAAGTGCAATTCATTAATCACTTATTGATTATTTGAATTTACAAAAATAATTACAATAATTACAACAATAATAATTACAGGTGATTATCTGAATTTATCACCTGTATCTTTCAAGGAGTTCCCTGTGTAGACAGAAGTTCCAGATACAAGAATGTAGACAGAAGTTCTGCATACCAAAATGCAGGCTGATTTTAGGGGCCTTTTTCTTTCCATTAAGTATCTACGCCACATGTGTTACTTCAATGCACAGATCTCTCCACCTCCTGAGATTACCTTTATGATCATCTCTCACTTATCTACTCCCAGCTAACACCTCCCTTAACTAAAAGCTCATTTTTCCCCACTGCTGACTTATCTTTTTTGACAGTTCTGTTCCCTTCCCCATGCCTTTCATTCAACAACCTGATTCTTTCACATGCTACTTTTGTTATTTTTCCCACAAGTCTCTTTGAGAATGGACATCTGCCACACCCAGAAATTCACAATTTCTGCTCAGTTTTACAGAAAAAGACATGCTAAGTCAAGACCAGGCAGGTAGCAAAATCTAGGGCATAGCACTACTTGAATGTAGGCATATTTCTTTAAAATTCCATTTCTGCCAAAAAAACCCTGGGCCCAAACCTGCAAATTGTAGGGTCTGTACCTGACACAATGTTATATGGTAGAACACAAGATAGAAAACACTCCTGTAAATTGCTACAAGTCAATTCATAATCATCAAAAGTTTCTTACTTGAGTTGGATGTCCTTTGGGCAAAATTCTAACCTATCGAAATCTATGAATAGAAAGAACAAAATACCCATTTAGTATTTTAGGATTTTTTTAGTATATGTCTAGAAAAACAAATATTGAAGTACTAAGAGAACACTTACCTAAGCCACATTCTCCAACTGCTACTACCTTTGTCTTATTCTTTTCAATCAGATTTTTTAATTCAGATAAATACTGTTCGGGGTTACTCTGCTCAAATTCTCCACAGCGGGTAGGATGACAGCCAACTGTACTGTAAAACATGTCTAAGGCAAGAGAATATTAGGAGGTTTTAAGAAAAAAAAAAAAGAAAATTTATCTAAAGTATAGACAATATCTGCATCTGGAGGGGTGTTTTATTGCTCACAATTTTAACAGAAAACTCCCTTTGAACATCTTTATCTTGATAATAATTTTATGAGACAGATATTTTCTGCTTTGAAAATGTCAGACAGTGTCTCCAGTGGGAGGATGTGTGTGTCTTTTTAGTATACATTGCTTAGTGTACTTCAGAACTGCAATTTAAAGCTGGACTGCTGTGGTGGAGCAGCCCCCAATAAATCATACAATTGTTGAGGCTGGAAGAGACCTCTTGAGATCATTTAGAAACACATCTCATTCAACGTGCATCTGGTTATCCAAGCTCTAAGATCTGCAGTGTGCAGTTTCCCTCATGTGCCCCTACATAAACTGTTACAGAATTTCCCAAGTCACATCTGCCTGATTTCCCAAGTATCTAATCTAGACTACCTTGCCAAAACTAACATTTCTGCTAAGTGCCTTTATGGATAATAGAAAACCATGAGGGAAAGTTAAAACCAGGTAAGACCCCGAGCAACTTGCCCTAATATTAAAGCCAGTCCTGCTTTGATGGAAGTGGAGAGGGAGACTGGGTTGGGCCAGATTATCATCTGAGGTTCATTCAAACCAAAATTATTTTATGTTTCTGTAGTAAACAGTACTTTAACATGTGCATTAGTTCAAAGACATATTTAAGTCATAAGTGGAATGAAATTTGCCTAAAGAAAAAGAAGAGACATATTCCCTTCCACAGCAAGAAAGGAGAACTATAAAAAGAAAGATACCTCTCTTGATCAAGCTGATCATGACAGATTGGGAAGTAAAAAACAAACAAAAAGACAACAAAACCCAAGTATTTCACACCATATAAGCATTCTAGCTTATTTCTAGAATAGAGACTTATATCAATTTTTTTATTCCAAGAATTTCTTATAATTTCTATTTTTATCTAGAAATAGAAATTGCAGAAAAGAATTATTCCTTCCAATATCGGGGATCTACAGAGCAACACACAGAAACTCATATACAATGCATTCATCCCATCTGAAATTTAATTTCTCCTTTTAATCTGAGATTCTGTAAACACCTCTGGGACAGATCCTTTTGAACTCTTAATTCTGAGAGAAGAGAAGGTTATATTTTTGACTGACAACACAAGTTTAATGTGAAAATACCATTTGTCTGTGCCAGTTGCAATGCATCTTTACTATCTTCTAGACTTCCACCTGTAATCAGAAACTTGAAAGAAGAAAAGTACTGTCAGTGTGTATATTCTTTGAACATCAAACAGAATGTTTAAGAAAACACTCAGATACATGAAGAATCTTGACAGAGAACATCAGAACACAATTACTAATATATATAACAAGATTTCGTAAATCAGCTACAAACCTCAATGGCCCTCAGGAGCTAGTAAACACACTTGGTATAAAAATCTGATTTTTTTTCTAACTCAAGTATCTTCTATGCTGAGAATTTAAACCATTAAACAAACAAAATACTTATATCTGCAGCAATACTACCTTCATTAGACTCAAAAAACTATACTTGCATTCAAGAAATGATACTCAGAAACATTGTCTTACAGGTGGGGAAAATAAAGACTCCCAAACACCCAGAACAAGACATGAGTTAGTAAGTAATTAAACCAAAAAACAAGTCTGTATCAGAGTTGGGATTACAATTTTAAGAATTTCCGGCTCTGATCTTTTATTTTTACCTTAAGCTCAAAGTTATCACACCAGAATTGTTGCTCACAGTGCTTTTTTGAACCACCACTTACAGAATATCTCACCCTAGGTCCTAATAAATTATGACTACGTTGCTTTTGGACAACTCTTATCCCTACACATGCTGTACACCAGACTCAGTGAGCACCAGGTCAGACATTCCTGCAGGATGCTCCATGACTGACAGACACATCCCAACAGTGTCACCAGAGAAATGTTAAGCTGAAAATGAATCTGTTAGATACAACACAGGGCAAAACTTCACAAAAAATTTACCATAAATCAGCAGCTATATGGAAAAATAAAAGTATTTTCCAATAAACACATCAAGCTTCTAGGCAAGTAGGAACAATCTGTGATGGAACAGGCTTCTGACACTGTACAGAGCAGTAGGAGGCCTGAAAACAGCTAAGGACAGGGAACTCCTGAATTCCACTTCTGAATCCACTGTGCATCTTGAAAAAGTTATGCAGCTAGTCTGTTTTTGACCACAAAATAGGAAAACTGCCATTTATTTTCAGAGAGTGGTATGAAGATTAAATAGCACTTACACAGCACATACAAAAGTGACCTGGATTCTGTATTTGCTGCAGTGGGGTAACTTCTCCATCACTGGAGTTTTCTTTTTTTGCCTCCCAGTTCATTTCCCGCTCTTTTCAGATGAGACTTTTTCAACAAACTCCCAAGAGGCTTGTTCCTTGTCTAGAGGAGCATTTATTTCTTTATTTCTAATCCAGCAGCCTTATTAGTGCAGTAGTACAGTTTGTGACAGTATGCATTGTATTCTATGTTAATTCATATTTTTGTCAACAATTAGTTTAGAGAGAGAGAGGGAGGGGCAGGCTGGAGTATTGTAACCAAAAGAGTAACTGAAAACACCAATTTCAAGTTAAGAGTTACAAACCCTCTCACATAATGGTGCTGCTTTAATACATGTAAGCCAGTATTTACCAGCAGACGTTCACGTGTCTCAACTGTAAGAGTTTATGGGCACTGCCAGCTCTTCTGCAGTTACCAATTTCATTGACAAACAGAAATATCTGAAGGATCTCAATCAGAAGAGTTTGTGAGTTTTGATCTGCAGCAGTAACTGTTGATTAAGAATCACAGAATAATTAAGGTTGGAAAAGACCTCCAAGATCATTGAGTCCAACCTTTATCCGATCACCACCTTGTCAACTAAACCACAGCACTAAGTGCCACATCCAGTCCTTTCTTGAATACCTCCAGGCACGGTGACTCCACTACTCCCCCATTACAATGTTTAACAAACCTTGCCATGAAAAAATTCTTCCTGATGTCCAACCTGAACTTCCCCTGGCACAACCTGAGGTCATTTCATCTTGTCCTGTCACTGGCTGACTGAGAGAAGAGGCTGTTTACAAGTCCTTTCAGGTAGTTGTGATAAGGTTCCCCCCAGGCCTCCTTTTCTCCAGGCTAAACACCCCAGCTCCCTCAGCCACTCCTCATGCAGCTTACTCTCTAAGAGTCACATAAGATACCAGAAGAAAGGAATGGTGCCCATAATACAACTAACATGGAAAACCGATTGCAGTAGCTCAGAAGTGAACACCTTTCTGTTGAAACTGTACAAAATAAATTCTACATACACATCACCTCAATACCATTGAACTTAAATAGTCATCTAATGATCCTTGCAAAGACAACACTGCACAGAACACTTTTGCTTTGTGCTACTGAAGGAAGTTACTGCATTTTCCATTGCAAATCCCAGAAACATTTGTTTTAGTAGGAAAGCACCAAAAAACCAAATATTAGAAAACAGTTTAAAATATTAATGCAATTTTATTATAAGAAATTACCTTTTTAATGCCAACTTTGACTGCTCTCTCTAGCACGTCCAGAAGGTCATCTGCAAAAATTCATAAAAATTACGTAAGTTGAACTTAAGGTTCTACAACATAATTTAACTATTTTTCAACTTTCATGCAGTCAGAATTCCTATCACTAAATCTTTAAAACATACTAGATTAATCTTTAGAAGACTATTAACAAAACACAGTAACTGGAGATCCAATTTAAATCCAAGAAGTCAACAGAAATTTTTCAACATACTTTAGGAGACTCTCAGTTTTTACATCTATATCTAAAGGCCATGAGAGCAGAAAACCCAATCATTATGATTAATAACTACGATTTGGCAATGCAATACTTTGATAGGCTATTGTTCATAATTCCCACATCAGTTTTTCCATGCAATCCTAACATAAGTAGATCAGCAATTGTCCATTTTGCTCCAGAAGTAGAGTTACCTGCATGACAGCTTAACAGCAATTAAGAGAATGTATTTTGCTTAGGACATCTAACCTGTTTTGTCACACTTTCTTCTTCAAGCCTTAGTAAATAACCATCCAGTTCTTGAGGAGAAAAAAGAAATTCTAATCTCACATTCTGACACATAAGAGGTTTCTATTTTAGCAAGAGGATTCCTGTCTTTCAGCAGATACAAAGAAAACATTGACCTTGATGTTTTTGTGTTCCTCTGTAGATTCCTCTGAACATAGGATCTGTGAGGTTAATACCAATATCTGTGGAAAAACAAAGATAGAAATTAGAAGTTTTAGTGGCTCTACATTTTACTCTGAGCATTAGTCAACTAGAGAAGACAACAGAAACTATCTCAATGGCCCCTGACCAGCACATTGACAGGCCGCATAAAGCTGAAGTTTACTTGCATAATTTGAGAACTTACTCCTTACAAGAAGTGACAGAAAAATTATATTTTGGCCTTTGTGCAACTCCAGACTTCTATGGGTGTATTAGGCACATAATCACCAAAGCAAACACACGTATACTGCTCATTGCAAATAAATCTGAAAATACAAATTTATGCAAACGAGCAGTAAGAAGGAAGGGAAAATACAGCATCTCCCATACGTCTTCACATGGGTGGGGGCAGGAGCTGCAGAATGCCTCCTAACAGCTGCCTGTTCTCCCTCCTGCTGCCATCCCAGGGCAGCACTGTCAGGATACCGACAGGACACCTGCAATGCAGGTACTGCTGGAGCTGCCCCAGCCCAGCCCTCCTTACTCAGCTCCCACGGCTTTCTCTGTGTTGCAGCCTCGCAGCCAAGGACTAAAGCACCGGCTCCAGGAACAGAGACCCCTGCAGCTGCCAGAGCCCACATTCCCAGCCGGGATTCTAGCGGGAAGGGAAATTTTCCAAGGAAATATTGGGCTGCTCAGCCACATATAGAACTTCAGTATGAACCAACCAAGTTATGTACATGTTTCCTGTCGAATTTCCTAAGAATGTTAACATTTTCAACCAAGCCAGTTCCATACAATCCGAAACAACCACGACTAATGCGCCAAAGCGGGACAGGCGACTAGGGGCGGCCGAACCCCCCCAAATTCAGGGGTAACAGAGAACAGCAGCCCCAGTGCCCAGACACAGCACAAACCTTCCCAAACGCTTCCGAGGGGCTCCAAGGCCGCCGCATCCCGGCCCGGGACGCCCAGAGGGACCGCAGGAGGTGACAAGCCCTGGATGAAGGGCTGGGACGGGAGGTGACGAACCCTGGATGAAGGGCTGGGAGAAGCCCTGGATGAAGGATTGGGACAAACCCTGGATGCGGGGCTGGGACTAGCCCTGGCACTGCGCATCCTGAGCACCCTCCCGCTACGCGCGGCCCCTCACGGAGCGGGGGGGCGGCGGCGGCCACCTCAGCCCGGCACCAGGCGAGGAGCAGGGGGGTCCTGGGCCGGGGACACGGGGATAGGGACCCCCCGCCCGTCCCGCCGCCCCCTCACCGATGAACTTGGCGCGGTTCATGGCGGCTCCGGGCGGCTCCGGCAGCAGCGCGGGCGGGGCCGCGCCGCCCTCCCGGCAGCCCCCGCGCGGAGGGGAAGGCGGTGCTGAGGGGCGCCATGGCCGCGTACCTGACGCACCAGCAGAAGGTGCTGCGGCTGTACAAGAAATCCCTGCGGCACCTCGAGTCCTGGTGCATCTACCGGTGAGGCCGCGGGGAGGGAGGTCTGTCCGCCCGCCCGCCGAGCGGGGCCGCTCAGCTTCACACTTGGCTGGGCCCGGGCTGGGGGGGGGTGTTTTCCTCCTCACTGTGCGTGACCTCTGTCTGCAGGGACAAGTACCGCTACTTCGCCTGCCTGCTGAGGGAGCGCTTCGATAAGAACAAGGATGTGAAGGACATGGTGAAAGCCACCCAGCTGCTGAGGGCGGGCGAGGAGGAGTTCTGGGCCAACCAGCACCCCCAGCCCTACATCTTCCCCGACTCCCCCGGGGGCACTTCCTACGAGAGATACGAGTGCTACAAGGTAAGGTGGCCTGGAATGTGTGAATTGTTGCACTTGCTTTGCTCTTCTCAGCGAATATAACGTGAGCAGCCATAGGGCCGCAGCTTGGCTCAGCTGCTTGTGTGGGAGGGGCTGTCCTGCTTTTCTGATCCTTGAAGGTGGAGTTTGCTGATCTGTCCGAACACAGCTGGTTGTGTGCTGGTTTGGGTTTTTTTTCTGGGATAATAATCTGCCGTTTTGCCCAGTGGAATCTGCCCCGCGGTGGGTCAGGCGGGCACAGGGAAAGGGCTGGAGCTGAGCTGTGGGAGGGAACAACGCGAAGGAGGCTGTGCTGCCATCTGAGAACTGCCTTGGTTTCTCTGTGGTCTGCTCAGGTGTCACCTTGGCTGTGGGGGGGACTTCCCTTCACTCGGTCCCATCATTCTTCCAGCGTTTTCAGTACAAGTTAATAATTTCCCCTGATATGCTGCAGTGTTTGTGCGCAACTGTGTGACAGGAGCTGTGCCTGAAAATAGAAACCTTATATTTAGTTTTAAAGCACTTCTACAGGCTTTTACCATCTCGATTGTTCTGTTTAGGAGCAAAGACACAGGTTTCATAGAAAAACACAGAGCTTTTGCTCTCTTGGCATCAGCTTTTTAATGCTTTACAGGAAGTTAATACTAACCTGAATTGGAAAAAAGTGCTGGCACAAGACTGGATCTGATCAGATCTTTATGCGTAAGAAGCCACATGAAAGGAAAAATAGGATGTAGATTTATGAGAGGCAGTAGAAAGAATGTCTGAGCGAAAAGGGAAGAGAAGGACTTAAGCTTATGCCAAGGTCAAGGGCCTTAGCAGTAGTAGAGGTAATAGTGAGAGAGAATCTGGTCAGAAAAAGGTCAAGATTAGTCTTCATACAGAAATAAAAACTGGATTATGCTCTCTTTTTTTTTGCCCTGTTTACTGTGCTAAAGTTGTCTGTTAACAAAATGGCACCACAAGGATGGTTATATCTGATAAATCGTTGACTGTCCATCGTGGGTGCTGCTACAAAATGTAATTTTTAGATCTCGGGCTCTTTGATGGTTGGTTTTAATTGTAGTTTGGTGTATGTGGATATTTTTTTACAATAGCAGCTCTGCTATTTCTGTTCACTCAAAGGTTTACTCAGTGACGAGAATTACAGCAGGAAACTGAAAGTCTAAATATCACTGAATAAATGATGGTACTGGAGCAACTTCTAAATTATTTTTTTTTTAAGAACTTGGTCTTTGGTGGTATTTTGGGGTTGGTTTCTCTTAATCAGTGTTCTTGTCTTTAAAATGTAAACATTTAGTGATATCCTGCTGCAGAATTTTGAATTTTCCTTTTTTTTTTCTCGTTGTGTGAATACATTCACGGTCAGACCATTATCAAGATTTTAAAGGCCTAATAAAAAACTGCTCGTTTCCTAGAAGTTGTTGACAGGCAGAAATAAACTGTAATGTTCTGTCTTTGTCAAGTAAAATAAATCAGTAGTTGGAGAGAAGGATCTCTCTAAGCTGTTACCTTTAGGAGAAGTAAGGGAAGAAATGTGATCTTCTCTTCCACCAGAAGGAATTATTTTGAGAACTTCAGAGTAAACTGAGATGACCTGGGATTTGTTTTGGGATGCTGTGATGTCTTCCTGTGAGTCCTGACCTCTGCCATGTGCCTTGGGACTTGTAGTAGTCAGGCAGCTCTTAAATGGTGTTTTTATGTAGTACTTCAAAATGGATAAAAACCCAGGAAGTGATACTGGCTTCAGTGATTGGATTTCCTTCTTCTGTATATGTGTACTAGATGTGATTTCATATACAAAAATAATATATATATATAAAATTATATTTTTCTTTAACAGATTCCTGAATGGTGCTTGGATTTCTGGCATCCTTCTGAGAAGGCAATGTATCCTGATTACTTTGCCAAACGAGAGCAGTGGAAGAAGCTGCAGCGGGAGAGCTGGGAAAAAGAGGTCAGTGCTTGCTCTATGCAAAGTAAAGTCTCTTTAGCACACAAATATTTTGTGTATGTGTTCTTGGAAAAATTATTGAATGCCTGCTGCAGTCTCAGTTAGGCTCTGCTGTACTGGAACCCATCAGTGTGAAACACTGACTTGACCTAAAATACCTACAGGGAGATCTCAGAGCTTCTGAATGGCTGTGAGGGAAATTCAAAGTTAAAGCTGAACCTGCAGCTGTGTTTCAGTTAGTGAGGGCTATTGTAGCAGTTTTGTGGCAAATGAAAACAAAACAAACAAAACCAAAAACCCCAAAAGCAAACAAACAAACTCCAAAGTGGGATGAGAGGAGAATAATGACCAGAGAATTCCTCTTCTGCTGCTGTGGAGCTCTGACACTTTCTGTTTGCACATTGGAATGTGACACAGCAATCATCGATTGGGAATCGAGACTAATTTCTTGCCAGTTGGGAAAAAGTTGATGTTCTTAGAACAGTTCTTTGATTCAGTTGTAGAGAAACAGTTGGATTTTATGGAGTGTGGCACTCTAGAATTAACACAGGGGCAGCCAGCACTTGTGCTGCTTCAAGAAACGTGCTGAAAACATGTGAGGGGCTCTTGGTGCCATGCAGGAACAGAGGTGTCCTATGGACTGCTGGGGAAGTTGTTCTGGACTTGTAATTATCTGGCAGCTTCCAAAGCATCAGGATAATTCAGCCTGTTCAGTGTAGCAATGGTAGACATGAGTTACATGGAAATAATGACCTTCTAAGTGAAATGTCTGTTGTAAATCACTTCTTTCTCCTAGAAATTCCTTCTTAATTAGGTAATATGAGCCTGCAGTGATTACTGAGTGGAAGTGAATGTCAGGAAACCTGAACCCTCTCTGTCAGCCAAAGGCTTTACCTCTGGTTCTTCCCTGCAGAAATGGGGAGCTGGTTTTGCTCACTGCCTGGGCACTGAGAGCCACGTTATGGGAATGTGTGTTAATGTGCTAAAGCAGTTTTCTCTCTTTTCTTACAGATTAAGCAGTTGGAGGAAGAAACCCCAGCAGATGGTCCAAAAACTGAAGCTTTGCCTCCAGCTCGGAAGGAAGGGCACCTGCCCCCGCTGTGGTGGCAGTACGTCACCCGGCCCCGGGAAATACCCATGTAAAGGCACCTTGGTCTGCCTGCTGTAAGCAGTTCACATGTCAGTGACCATGTGCTTCTCTAAGTAATACAGAATAAAGCCAAATAAAAGTAACAGAGAAAGCATTTTTCCTGCACACTGCCTTTCCCTAGCACACTCACACTTCACTGCCAGCCTGTGGAGAAATCCTGGCAGGGCACTGACACCAGAGCAAGTTCTCTTGCAGCTTTCAGAGTCAGAAAACTCAGCTAAGACTGAAAAAAACTGGCCACGCTAAACTCATGTTCCCAGAGAAGGAATGCAAGCTTAAAGGGGTGGGAGAGGCAGATTCAGTGGGGAACTTGATCAAATTATAAGCAACTAAACTGAGAATAACTAGAGCAAGAGACTGTCTCCCACTGTGGATAGGGTGGGAGGGAGAGGGGACTGGGGGGAGTGAATGAAAACTAATAACAGTTCATATGAGCTCCATAACTTGGAATGTAATAGTAAATACAGGCAAGGTGTTAAAGCTGGAGTTTCAGGATGGTGACAGCAGCAATGTGCTTTGGGTGCTCCCAGGTATTTCTGACCTGGATTTGGGATAAAGACATCTTGCCCTCCCCACTTGTTTAGGTGCTTTGCTGCATTTTTCACTTGGGTATCAAGTCTCACAAGACATAAATCTTCCTTACAATGTTGTGCTTTCCTACATGGATAACAGTGCTGTGGAGCACCAAAAGCAAACTGATCCCCCTATAAACTGAATCCCAGAAAAACACTGAGCTGTACCAGTGAACACGTGTGGGCTGCTGAGGAATATGGCTCTTGTGTGCTCATTCATGGGCCTGCATGACAGTGAACTAGGGACAAAAAGCTGTTTGTTTCTGGCCATGTTCCCAAAGCATCCATACAAGACACAGGAAGTTTTGGTAACACTTTCACTTACCACCCTGTGAGGGAACAGATTGGATACAGCCACAGAGTGAAAGCTCATAGGGAAACCTGGCTCTTCAGCTGTATTCCCATGTTTGGGGCTAGAAGAGAGGAGATTTGAGTTGCCTAATCTGACACAGCCTCCTTTGAGCATCCACCTGCTCCACCATGGGCTCCTGCACGGGCTGCAGGTGGATCTCTGCTCCACCATGAACCTCCATGGGCTGCAGGGGCACAGCTGCCTCACCATGGGCTGCACCATGGGCTGCAGGGGAATCTCCACTGTACCACCTGGTCTCCTTCCTCACTGACCTGGGTGTCTGCAGGGCTGTTTCTCTCACATACCCTCCAACTGCTGTTGCAGTGACACAGCAACTTTTTCTCCTTCTTAAATCTGTTATCTAGAGACACTACCACTGTCACTGATGGGCTCGGCCTTGGCCAGCAGTGGGTCTGTCCTGGATGCGGCCAGCATGGGCTCTGTTGGACACAGGGAAAGCTTCTGGCAGCTCCTCAGAGAAGCCAGCCCTGCAGACCCCTGCTACCAAAACCTGGCCATGCAAACCCAACACAGTGACAAATGAAAACCTTTAGACAAAAATGAACCCATCACAGTGGCAAGGAAATAAACTGGGTCACTGTGTGGTAGCTGAAAGAGGCAGCAGTGTCCTCCCCACTGCCTTTGTTGCTGGGAAAGGTGAATAAAAAATTGTCTTCAGTCACTTGGGGGTCTGTGGGAGATGGTGCTGGTGGTGTGTTTGATGAATTCTGGCTGTAGCACAGGCAGTGCTGACAGCAGCAATTTTCCTCTGGCATAAGGAACTGAGGTCCAGCACTGAAGCAGACACACAAACATGCTGAGTTATCTGTGCTTCCTGGCCAGGTAAGAACAGTGAGGTGCAGAGAAACGTCATCAGTTTCTATTTCACTGGAATTTTCACTGTTAGCACTGCACTTCTGTTCTGCTACTACCCTGCCAGTGCAGTAAAACACAGCTACATGCAATTTTATTTACTTATTTTTTAATTCTCTGTTGCTTCTATTACACGCAGATGGAACCTGCGCCATCCTGAGAAGTCTGAGGAAGGGCACCATTGATATCCAATGGTCTGGAAGCAGAAAGCCTTTAAGAACCAAAATACAGAAGTTTTTCAGCAGTTCTTTATTTATAACGTAGGCTTAAGCAATCATTACAATGTAGAAGGGAGACACACTTACAGCAATTATTTATACCAGTTTAGAACAAAAAACTGCACAGGGAGAGGTCAACTCTCAGTACAAACTAGCAACTAAACCACAATAATTTACCATTAGAAACATTTTATTTTTTAGCTGTGACACTGCTTTTACAATATGCAAAAACACAAACAATAGAACTATCCAAAGTGTTTTGTCACATTCTTTCTACATTGAATTTGGCAACATTTTATATTAAATTTTACTGATTATACTAACGTTTAAGAACTAAACAAGTGAAAAGCTGTACTTGGGTACAGTTACATCCATTTATTTCAAAGGTTTAAATAACACTTTTAACTATTGAGATTATCTCCTAGCAGTTTTTGTTTATGCAAAAACCATCTCAAAGCCTCATTTGCACAATGCATCAGCTACTGTATCAAGATTGGTGGGCTACACCACAGGCACTACTGTTTATTATATTCTGTTATAAGGAGCTTGTTTTTCAAAGAAAGGAAGGTTTAATATTTTCTAAGAATCATGCTTTTTTTTTTGCTTTTTGCTTTTAAGCCATAACAAAAAAAAAGGTTAGCAAGCACAGCAGTGTAAAATGTCATATAGAACACAGCGACTACACAGTTACTAGAAGTTTCACATCCAATGCATTTATGTAGTAAAGCATAAGAGGGTCATGTAGGCAAATCTAGAGCCAACAGAAATCTGCAGAGCATGTGGTGGAAACCAGCCCCTTATTTGTATTATTTGGTGCATTTTTAAACAATCCCGGATCTGCAAGTCTGGTGTCCATCCACACGTGGGTCTGTTGTGGGTGGGCAGACAGCATCCTTCTGGATTGTCTGATGGGAACACGTGTCATGACAAGGGGTCTGCATATTTCTGGTGGCTTTAGGAGACGGGTATTGCAGCAATAACTTGCTTTTACTTTAAGGAAAAAATCCAACTCTTAATGATTCTATCAATAGCGTTCCAAAAAACATGACTTAAAGTACAAAAAAAGAGAATATAGTGGTCAGACTCCCAGTATTATCAAAAAACCAGTATCTCTCCCCACCCCCCACCCCTCACCCCTTTCTTTTCGGTATTTAAGAAAAGCCAATCAACTGCCATTTAAAAGAAGTTAAGAAAAACAAGCCCCTGTATTGGAAAGAAACATTCGCTGTTTATTAGATCACAAGCTGGTTACACCTGTCAATTTTAAGTGTTTTCTCAAAATAGTTGGGCTTTCCAAAGTGCCCAGCCTGCTGGGCACAGTCAGAAAAAGGCATTTTGATAATATCTAAGAACTCCCTGCTTGCATTTTAAAAATGTTTTCACATTTGTAACTGCCTTAAGCCTGTTGTCCTGGTTTGTATTCAGCAGAAGGATGAGCGGAATGAAACGTGAAGGTGGAAGAACCAAGCCTACACAGTAAAGGCTGCATGCATGTGACTGAGAGTTGTTGCTGTGCAGTCAAAAAAGAAATGTGGAAAAACCCAGTCTTAAAACACCCTACAGAAACAAAACACTGCAATCCAATATGGCTTATTCTGATGCATTTACCATGAAGCTACTAGTAATCCATCCTACTAGGCTACTTTTGTGCAACAGCATCTGCTATTTTGATGGCATTTCCCTCCCCCCACTACCCCCCCAATAACTCTACCAACTGCAGGTTTCTTCCTTGCATTATATATTGCTTTCATTGTCAATTTTTATTCTTCCTTGTCAAACTTTTTTTTTTTTAATACTTAAATGAGGATTTGTTCCTTACAGTTTGACTTAAACTGTAGGAAGTCCCATTGTTTTGGTTTTTTAACCTCACTATTACAAGGAGCTCTACAAAAGCTTGCAAAAAAGCCAAATTTTCATTAAATCCCTTTGCTGAAGTTAACTACTTGACATTTTTTTTTTTTCCTATGATTTAAAACTTTACAAAGAGAGTTATAAAAAAGGTAAATGGGATTTGGCACCTTCAGAAAAAATTAAAAGTGTAACTTAGATCAAAAAAATGCAAGAAAACAAAATCATTGATATTTACAAATTAAAACACCAGTGAAGACTATGCCTTATGCTCTTTCATTTGTTTTCTCTTTTAGAGTACTTTCAGACTGTCTGTTACCGAGTATCTTAAAAAAAAATCACTGATTACAGATTGGAATGAGTAGAGACAAATTGGTTTCCTCACAGTTCCTTCTCGGTGTCTGGTACTCTGGCAGCTTCCTCACTCCTAGGAAATGCGAGGTGCTGAGCGATCATTCGTGGTTGTCTTCTTCAGTTTGACACCGCGCCGGATGGCGTTCAGCATATCCTCACCCTGCGGGGCGTCCCCAGGACTCAGCTCCCCGGGATCCAGCTCCGCCTGGCCCACAGGCACCAGGGTGCCAACCCCATCCCGCTCGCTTTCCTCCCCCTCGCTCTCAGGAACCACCTGCCTCTGCTCCTCGGTCACGCTCAGTTTCTGGCTGGATGACGGAGGGTTGACAGACGCTTGTCCGCTCCACGAGGGCACGCTGGTCACACCTTGCCCACCATCTGCTGCTGCTGGAGACTCTGGACTTTGCTCGGGACACTCTTCAGTCCCAGCGAGGGCGCCAGGCAGTCCGCCCGGGATGTCGGGGACAGTTGGCGTTTTGACAGGAATCACTGGCGTCTTGATGGGAATGGGCCCTCCCCCGATGGTGCCGCGTCGGACGGAAGGCTTGGTGGAAGGGGTCCGTCGGATGGTGGCGACGCCGGGGGTGACGATGACCGGTCCCAGCGTGGTTGGCAGACCTGCGGTGGAAGCAGGACGCTTGGTTTGAAACATTCTGCGATAGGACTGGCTAATGTCACTGTTTCTTGGGATGGTGGAAGATTTGTCAAACTCTTGTTGTTCTGCCTCCTGGTCACCACTCACAGAGAAATAATCATAATCTGAAACTGATGCCAAAAGACAGAGTTAGGAACACACTGGAGCAGAGAGCTGAGTCACGTCAGTAAGTCTAAAGTGTGTATATATAACCAAAAAAGTCTGGAGATCAATAAGCATTAAGAGTGGTTTCACCTTCAGGAGGAAGAAAGCCTGAGGTTCCTGTGGCCAAGATCCACAGACTGTGTGACTGAAAGCACCACAGCAGAATGACCCTACAGCTGCAGGGTGCCCATGGCTCTTGTGAAAGAGAACGAGAACTGTACACACTCAGTCCCTTCTCCAAACTCATTAAGTAACAAAGACTCAGTATTTGTTGCCAGCATGAACATACCAAAACCAGCATCCTACAAGCCATATACACCACTTACAAAATGTACTTTCGATTAGGCAAGTGGGGCTCATGGGACTGTGTACCAGTGATTTCAACAGCAAATTTGCTTATTTTACAAAGTAAATCCCAGCTGTCAGCTCTGAAAACTCAGCCTCAGCTTTAATAATTGCATCAAGTTCCTTCCTCTTCACGTAAGTGCTGAGCCAAGCTTGGCCCTCCGCAAGCCCTGCTGCCTCCTGTGACTGCACAGCACAACCACTGCAGCTGAGCAAATAAGGAAGGTTTGAACTGTAAACACCAAACTCCTTCCCTCTCAGGTTGCTGCTGGTTCTGAAACAAGGTACAAAACCCAATACCTTACTGCAGCCTCCCAGCTACACCCAAATTACGGTCTCCAATGGATTCTTTTTCCAATTACAAAACTTCTGTTTAGGTAGGAAATAAAAGGTCACAAAGAGAAACCAAGAGCAGATTCAGAGTGCTGATGGAACACGAAAGCAAAGCTCCTGAGTGTGTATTTGCAGAGACAATAGCTCACAAAGGACACTACTACCACAAGAAGTGTATGATGCAGTACCAGTGTCATTCCACTCAACCTATGAAATTTAATTTCAGGACCTTCTTCAAAATGGTGGCATCCTTAACCTGAAACTCATTTGAGTAATGCACAAGAAAATACAGTCGTTCAGTACACTATGAAGCAATCCAGATTTTTTGTAGTTAATAAATCCAGGCAGCATTTCAAGCTGGAAAAAACTTCACAGCAGAATGTTCAGCCTTTCTCCCCAGCTGATGACAAAGCCAATAACAGCTGCTGGAATAGAGCTCCTTGGCACCATGGGGGGAGTGTATGATGGCCAGGTGGGAATGCTCTAAAAAGGAACATCTCTTGGATGGGTACCTTGAGATGGGATCGTGTCCTCTGAACAGCACGGAGTTGTTGTCTGGGTGCTGTAGCCACTGGAGCACTGCAAGGAATCCCGACTGCTCCTCTGGGTGTCCAGCTGCAGTCCCCTCGACAGAGCCAGCGCCAGCTCCTCACAGGCCTCCATCTCCTCACCCTGCTGCTTACACACAGAAAGAGACTCGTTACGCCTGTCACCTTCACCCATGTTTAGCTGCCCCTCCTCCCCAGAAGAGTTTGTCACCATCACAACCCAACAGACTGTGCCCAACCATTTACTTGGGCTAAGAAACAGACGCCTCTTTGGAGGACGTTGCCCTACAAATGCTAACACCCAACAGTGTATTCCCTCACGCCCACAGGATTCCCACTGACCACACCACCACCACACCAGTACCCCCTTCTGGGTTAACATGCGCCAGCATAAAGCACATCGAAGTACTGGCAGGAGCCAGTACATCCGTTTCCCTTGCACCAAGCATTGTATTTGAAATTAGAGCTTCACCCTTGTGGCAGCTGAGACCGTCATGCTCCGAGGTCTCTGGGCCTCCTCAGGGGTCACAGGGGCCCCGCTCTGAGCTCCTCCATTGAGATCTGGTTCGCGCTTCTCTTTGCGACGTTGCAACGTGTTCACCATCGGCTGATCGTACGGGCCTGGCTTGGCCCAGTCCTAAGGAAACGCACTTGTTAGTGACAGCTTCCATCAGTAATCGTGCTTTAATTACACGTGAAACTACGCAAAAGGACAATTTTAATGTACCAGATTATGTACCAAACTGCATATGCCTTTCTGAATCAGGTGAGGAATAAATTAATTTTAAGGATATTAAAAATCTTGATTTATAAAATCTGTTTCCTTTATTAAAGGGAATCTAAATTTCCTATTCTACCTAAATGTTCTTATATGAAGATATTTAACATTTTGATACTACAGTCTTATCTAAATGAAATTCTGTTGTGGTAAAGCCTACATTTTCAGAATTTCAAGTACAAAAATCACTTGCATATAGCAGAAAATATACATGCATGTTCAATCACCAATGTAACTGCTCTAGATGTACACAAATTCTAGTATTATGTGCTGTTATGCATGTCTTTAGGTCTGAAAAATTAGGCTTGAACGGATTTTTGATACACATTAAAGGAGGAAGTTACTCTGAGTAATCTCTCAGTTTACTTAATAGCTGAAATTGAGTTTGTAATGATGATCTGTACCGAGGAAAGACTAACTTTACTCTGAACTACTGGTACTAAATTTGAAACAGAAATTCCTCAGTGAAGACAGTATTCACTCAGGGCTCTATTAAGCAAAGTCCTGAGGGTGTCCAGAACCCACACGTTGCACACAAAGAGCAGGACTGATCCGTGTCCTGTGCTGGGAGGCAGAACCACTGCTAAGCAGTAGCTCCCCAAACACCAGCTGCTGCAAGGGCAATCCCAATCCTAAGAGAGTTTTCCTTTACTGAGACAGGGGTTGCTTTAAAAATAAAAGAAACAAATTCTGCATGAGAATGGGGCCCACGCCCCCCCCAGCTGCCTTCTGGGCAGCTTCCCACAGCCTTCCAATTCACAATTAATGATGGGCCAAGACCACATTATGGATTTTTACTGACATGTGTCTCAGTCCAACATATGAGAAGCGCACGGCAGCTGAAGTGACAGACACCCACGCACAGACAGGTATTTTGGTTTTATTAACACATATGAAACTCTGCTTTACCTTAACATCTGTGTCTCTACTCTAAGTATTTTGCTGTCAAATATACTGGCAGAGTGCTTCTAGCACAGACACAGCTAATGACCCTGAAGCCCCAGGACCACTGTGCCCACCCTGTATCTCAACAGTCTCCAGCTGCTGGAGAGAGAGAGTAGGGGGATCTGTAACAAGATATCTCAATTTAGATGTATAAGCAGGTCCCGTGGTGCATAGGCAGTATTACACAACCATCCACAGGCACTTAAATCCTGCGTAGCTACTGTCAACTGCACATCAACCTTGTGAGGATTCAGGGCACAGAGAAGAGACCTTCTCTCCTTGCTCTGGGGCAGAGTCTCCCAGGGGAATGACCTGGCAAGGATGAAAGTCAAGACTCTGGCAGAACAGAGATGTTTTAGTACCAGAGAAGATCCCTGCAGATCCAGCTGGAGCAACTGAAAGAAGCTACTGCACTCTTTTTCAGTGGTCTCCACTAAAAGAACAAAACGAGCTGGGTGATCACTTCCAGTTTGTGGCAATAAAGCTGGGACAGCTTCAGTCATCACTTGGGTTTCCCTGGTGCTGAGCACCTTCTTAAACCACTCCAGCTGGATCTTGGAGTGTGCCTGCCCACGGCCAAGGTGGAGGCCCAGCCCAACCACCACAGGGAGAACACTGGTGTCTTCAACGTGGCCTCACTAAACTAAGGCAACTGGATGCCAAGCCTGCCTTTCCGTGCTCAAGTGAGCGCTCTGACAGAGCTAAACAAGCTTTTCTTGCTGAATAGAGCCCAGTGTGCTTTAACCAACGTTCCAGAGTTAAACTATTCCTTCCTACCTACGCATTGTCAGCTTTAATACGCTTTAGTCAGTGCCAGAACAGACAAGGTCATTGAGAAATACCCCCTGCTGGAATTTAGCTCTCCGATTTTCCCCATGCAGTACCCATTCAGAGTGATATTAAACAGAGCAAATCAACCAGTAATTACATGGACCAAAAGGTAGCAACAACTGCCGTGTGCATGCTGTTGGTATGAGCAGGTGAGGACTGCCACAACAAAAGGAACACAAACCTTCCAGCTAGGGATCTTAGATGATGGAAACATGCCTGGCCCAATGGTGTAATAATGAACGTAGTCTGGAAGGAGGGCTGAGGGAGCCCGAGTCCACGCGCGGGAGACAGGCGGGAAATGAGGGAAAGGACCTGCACCAACTGAAGCTACGGATGGGTCACTTGATAAACTACAGTGATAAAACCCATTAGACAACTGGAAACGAAACAAATAAAAAAAACAAAAACAGAGAAATTAATATAAACAGAATGAATACGAAAATACACTGTGACTGATGTTGTAGGGAGAAAACTTCTGTATCTTAAAACAAAAGAAAGAAAACTCTTAACTCTGCTGCAAACAAAAAACAGAAAATTGACACAATGCTTGGTTCAGAAGCGAGATTGCTTGAAAATTGCTATCTGGTATAACAAATTTCAGGCATCAATCTAGTGGTCATTGTCTCCCAGCTGAGCAGCTTTGCCTTCTGTCCATGAAAGTAGCATACTGTGAAAAAGCCTTTGCAGTTTAGGAACCCCGCAGACTGCAGACATAGAACAAAACTTTTCCAATCCTGGAGGCATTTGCATTGGTGGCATTTAGTCTGTGTAGCTGGACAGAGAGGAAAAGCATACAGCCTTCAAACATGGCATGTTCTGTGTGATGATATGGAACAAAAAAGAACAAAAACCAACAGCGAGGATTTACCAGATGAGAATGGAGACTGCTCTCACTTCCTCCCCCAATTCAGAGTGTATCCCACTTCATTTATTCCAACAATGTGTGTTTTGTCTTCCTTTTTGGTCAAAACCCAATCCCAATTAGTGTAATGTGTTCTACCTAATAGGAGAGAGGGGAGAAGGCACAACAGCACAACCTGGGCAAGAAGCTCTTTGTCAGGCAACCAGCTGGCTTTGGGCAGCGTTCCACAATCTCTTCGAGTAGCAAAGGTGGACAATGAGCTTTTCTTGGAAAATTACCTCTGTAAAATGCCCAATTTGTAGCTTCTCCTATAAGCTAGTTTAAAGGAAAGTGTGGTCTATTCAAACAGATTAATTCCTAAAGGAGAGTGCAACAGCTCCTATTCTCATCTTCAAAAAGAAGAATCCTGGCTGCATCCCATGCATCGTTTTTTGTCCAATGTTGCAGGGTTTGGATAACGAGCTAGTAGGTTTGTATGTCCTGGAGATGAAGTTTTTCACCTTATCTGTGGAGGCCCAAGCCCCCATGGTGGAGCCTGAGCTGACTGAGGTGGGGGAACTGCACTCGCTCACTGACTGGCAGGTTTCAGAGGCTTCTGAAGAGGCAGAGCTGGACGAATTCTGCAGCGTAAAACAGCACCGCAATGCAGGGAAAGGATACACAAGCCACCAAAAAAGGAAAAAACAAATCACAAACAGAAAGGAAAAGACAAAAAGCACATACACAGAGACACACAGGAGAGAGGGAGGGATGAGAGAAGCAAAGGGTTAGGGTTTTAAAAATTAATTAGAAACCGCTCAAAACCATTCCTAATGTTCAGGAAATCTATGAGAAACAAAATAAGCCACTTGCTTAATGCGAGAACTTGTCACACTGCTTAGGAATGAGGAAACTGAGGCAGTGATCTCAACTCCTCATTGCAATTTCAGCATCTCAATTCTGTTAGCTGTCTCGCAGCAAGAAGCTGAGGGAGCTGAGGGCACCTGTGGTCCAAACATGCAATATACTGAGACAACTGATTTATAAAGGAAAGCAGATCATCAGTACTTCAAAGACACAAAGTTTAGATTTAAAACATGGAGTAGCAAACATCACTTACATTCACAAGTTCTTGGATATTCTGATCTGCAAAAGTGCTTGTGAAAAGCTCATCTGAGTTCAAATATTATGGAATAGAGAAAGAAGTAATACTTACCAAACTGGAGTTTTCCAAAGTGCATAACTTGTATGCATGTAGGTAGGATGCATACACCAAATGCATACACTCTCACTCAAACCTCTCTGCCCAGCAGCCAGTGTGAAGGTACATGTGCTCTGCTGTGTGCAGAAATGGTGGCATGTACTTGCCACCTGCTTTCTCTTAACAGCAGAGCCAGAAAATACCAGGGGCTTGGATGGATAGCAAAGGAAAATGCAGGACATAAAAGTGCCCATTGAACATATCAAACATTTTGCTCCTAGGTAGGAACTTCTCCAATTTTCAGCGCATACCTTTATGTACATTTGCTGCTTAAGACCTCTACAACAGACTCTAATTCAATCACAGGCAGGCCAAGGGGAATAACCATGCGGACCACTTTGCCTACTACAGTGCTCTTCTAAAGCTCCCCCTTGAAAGTGGCATCCTGCTCCATAAGGGTGTGCATCCAGGTCCAACCGACTGCTTGGAAATAGTCAAGAATACCGGAAGAGTTGCCAGGGCAGTGGAGAGCTCTATTCACTGTCAGGAAACTGAAGACTACCAAGACTAATTCACCCTTTAGTAGCCCAGGATCTGGGAAACAAGTCTACCTAAGGATATCCCTGCCATTCTACGACAGCAGAGAGAATGTGCTCTTGTATCAGGTCTGTGTAGCAAAGCCATAGATTTTAAGATGTTGAAGAGGAAGGGAAATTTCATTTGAAATACAATTTCATCAGTTAACGTCAGGTGAGATCTGGGGTGAGTTTGCAATAAAAAGACAGATGGATAAGAGGCACTGTAGAGGACACGGGGTGTCTCACTGCTCACCAGAAGCTACATATGAGAAATGTACAGCCAATTGCCTGGGTAAAAGGAGATGTAGGTCTCTTGAGATGGAACACTGTCACCAGAAGGATTTTGGTGAGGGCTCGTAGGGCTGCTGAGAAAACACAGTATCAGCATCTTGAACTTACCAGCAAACTGTGATTTTAGTGACATTTTGCAAAGGCTCTTTAAAATTTTTTAGAAAGCATGTATTGTGATGGACCATTTTATAAAAATAACACATCCCATCCTATGCTGACATGGGATGAGATCTGCGGGTGACCTGTCAAATGTGCATAGGGTACAAGTATGCTCAGCTAACAAGGTTTGCATTCAAGGTGCACTAAGAGCTGAGGTGAAGGTAAGATCAGAAGAAATTGCAACAAATGACTGTTAAGGAGAGCAGTGAAGAGTGTGCAGTGGGGCACCTGATGATGCAATGGCTTCATGTTTTGTGGAACTGGTCACATTCTTGATTTAATGCAACTCCTTTTACAGGAGAAAAGCCTCTAAAATAAGAATACCAACAAACATGAGCTGTAGTTGACTCCGCCATCAGACAACCACGGTGCACTAAACGCAGATGAGCCTATTGCTTCTATCCTTAGAGAAAAATACATTTTAGAAAATTAGCTTTTACACTAAAACTCCAGACTTCTGCCTGACGTTCCAGGTACCTCAGAAAAGAAATCCCATGAGAATACTCACACTAATGTTCTGGTTTGGCCAGGGAAAAAAATGAAGAGAGAAAAATGTAATTACAGAAAATTCTTTTTTAATAGCCTGAATGACCCTCCTGGGTCTGCATACTCTGCACATGGCAGGACAGACAGTGAAGAGTCTGAGCTACAAGCATGGTATCCCTCATGCCACATTGTTTTCTGCACATGCCTCAATGGGGACAAGTAAGAATTTGGAATTTACACCTGATAAGACTATTTGTGTTTACAAGATAGAAATTTCACAAGATTATGTCAAGTAATGGTAAAAATGGCCTATAAATGAGGTTTATTAGCAACAAAGATGCATGCAGCAAACAGACAGAAAAAGGTCAAAAATGGAAATTCTCAAGATGCAAAGAATTGTTCAATTTACTTGGTGTATGGGGGGAAAAAAGACTAGAACTGATGAACTTATTTTTGCAATAAAGTGACTACTTCAAGGTGAAAAAAAAAAGAAGACAAAAAGGACCCTCCCACTAACTCAATGTGTCCATTTTCAGCAGGAAAAGCTAGACAAAGGCTGAACCAAGATGCCATGGGGAAAACACCCTGGTAGACGAAGGAAATGCAAGATGTGGTGGTACAGAAGAAGGGTCTCCTCACCTTCAGTAACTTGCAAGGCACAGAGAAGGTGAGCCTCTGGTCTGGCTAAAAAGCATTACAACAGTGAGCAAACAATGGAGAGGGAGGTAGAAGAATACTGAATTCCTGAAGGAAAAATGTAAGGAAAACATGACTGGCAGCAGGTCAAAGGCTCTCTGGATCAGACTGCAGAGCCACTCCTGAATGGTTAGATGAAAGTGTGGGAAGCACATACCACCCTTCATTTCTTAGCAGAAAGTACACGAGGGACTGAAAACAGAAACTATACAGTTACTGCTTGGGCAAAAAGTCCCCAGACAAGTGCTTGTTTTAGATGCACACCCTCTGGCACATGCACTCCTGTGAGCACACGCACTGGCAAACACTGGGCAGAGCAATTTCTACTCCACACCCCGTGGTGTGAGAAATATGACTATCAGATTTTTTGAATTTGTTTTAGTAATTATTTTTTTTTAAATGATTGTTTCATGTGAATCAGTTTTAAAATCACTTCTTTAATTTTAGCTATTTTAACCCTGGGAGACTTTTTTCTTTTCCCCACAGCTGCAATAATGGTGGTTCTGCTCTTCTGAGAAAAAGCTAAAAGTTAGGAGTATCAGCAGAAAGTTAAAACTGTGCTCTGCACACCAACATGCAGTGTAGCTTGGTGTCTGGTCTCTCAGACGTTGTGCCATGGTTTGTTCTTGGATAGCGTCCTGCTGCTTGGTGGGGTATGTATGAGTTCCAGCAAGCATATAAAAAAAAAAAAAGAGCTGCATTTTGGGCTGCTGGACTGTGCAATTATATTTTCCATCTGCTGTCCTACTAACCTATAAAAGGACTATGGTTATCTTGTATTACTTGCATCCTTTCACACCTTTCTTAACCCTTTCCCTTTCCCAATTATGAGACAGAGCTTCCTGGACAAGGGTTTCCCAGAAGATCAAATCCTAATGACAATGTCCTCTACAGTCAGTGGAAAATGGTCTCAGCTACTTTTCAGAAGGCTCCAGATAGTCACCACCTCTCACTTCCAGGAACCCGTCTCTACTGACCCTTCTTTCTAGTCAGGGATAAACTGCTGGGAAACATAACTTAGAAAAGGAAGTTTAGGAGAAACAAATTCCTTGTGAAAACTTAACAGATGAGTTCCAGTTTGGAATAGTTTTTTGGGTTTGGAGGCTTTTTGTTTGGATTTGTTTGTTTGTTTTTTCCGTTTTTTTTTTAAGTATTATTTGGGAGCATTTTTAAATTTAAATGGAAAACTGATTAGTTGTAACAATGTACTTCCCCTATTCTAACTTTGAGCTATTTCAAGCGATGGAATCTCCTCAAAAGCAGAATCTTTCCAGCTTGATAACGTGTACATGCAAAAGCAAGTTCACATTCAGTTTTCCTCTACTTCAGTGTTTAGAGAAAGCCATTTCCAGCGTATTCTCACACTAAAGACTTATCTCTCTGCTCTTTGACAGCACATCAACATTTTTATCTTCTTATCTGGTTCTTTCTGTCCCTTTGCTTTCATCTCCACAAAGTCTAAGCAACCTATGAAATTCAACTGCAAGTTGAATTCAAATGCTTCCCCTATGCATGTTCACTCCAAATCCAGTGGATCCTTCTAAAATCATCCCCCTGAATCAAACATAACTATACTATTACCATATTATTTCACCACAGATACTCCCAAGACCTCAGTTTGTCTACTACACAGGACAATGTGTGGGTTTAGCAGCACCAGCCACGTCCAGTGTTCACCCCAGAGCCACTCTTGGTCTGCTGTTCCCAGCAGCAGGTCTGTCAGAAAGACTTTGTTTGGGGTCAGTATGTGCCATGGGCAACACTGGCCATGGCTGATCTCACATCTGGCATTTAGAGAAACTGTTCCACTCCAGAAAGAGACCTGTGATGCTTTTCCATCACAGGATGTGCTGAGCTACACCCAAACATAATTGTGTAATTACAATTAAAGTATTTTACAGCGACCTTCCCACATGTATAGCTACGTGCTACAGGCTAACAGTTCTGCTGCCAGGGATATTAAGAACAATGCTGCAGAAAAGAGATCCTCCTAAACCAGTGAAAAGGCAGTGTCTGGTTTGATAATTGCTCTTTTTCCTATCTTCTGTGTAGAATGTGATAACTGCAAACACTTACTACTCGGTAACTACAGGTTGGAAAGCAGTCTTCATTTCGTCAGTCATCTCTCCTCTGGTATAGTCTGTATCTTGTTTAAATCTCTAGTTACTCCTTGTTTGAGATTCCCACCAACCTCCCACCCCCATTTGTGTTTTTGAGGAAATTCAGTTTAATTTTCAGTGACACTTGCTTGTATAAAATGTAGGGAAGCACATAAAAGCTTCTCATAGGTCATATATTCCCAGTTCTATAATATGGGAATTTTATGTAGTCCCTTCTTTTTTCTTATTATAGAAGGAAAAAGGGCTTTGTTGATCCAGCAGATGCCACAGCATGTAGCTAGCAAACATCAGCAAGTGTCCACCTGCGCAAGATATACGGCTTTTAATTTCCTTTGTTGGTTCCAGAGCTTGCTTTTCTGCCTTCTCAGTGTCACTACTAGAAACAATGACATCAGTGTTCCAAGAACAGCAGCAGCTGCTGCTCCTCCCCACCCGCCATGGAGCCTCCAAGCACAACCACACAGAGATCTGTCAGTTGGTTAGAGACACACAACACAGGATAACGCTGTAAACTGAACAGCTCCTCAGTAAGCTCACAGTCACAATCACCTGTCAGCACAACACACATGATTTACTTAGTGCTGAACATACAAAGCAAGACACTTAAGCAAAGATGAAGCGGCCAGGCAATGATCTGTTACCTTTTCCTCTGCGTAAAGGTATACAGAGCCAGAGACATACAGAGCACATACCTATTTGTTATACCAACACACTACACTTGTCACACTGCTGCAGCCTTCTAGAGCTCATGAACAGCTCAAGTGATGTTTGGATCAGTTTGCAACTTTATGGACAGTTTCTAAAATGAAGTGAAAGCACATGAACTTAGATGGTGTAAATCAGTGTGACTCCCATCAACTTTCAGGATGTTCTGCCACCTGATACCAGCCTAAGTTCTCTCCTCTGCTTAACAGGGGAACTTGCAAAGAGAGATGTTGAGTTTTTTTCCATGCTAAGAGCAATTGCAAAGTTACATCCTCATCTGCAAACACAGCATCATCATGTGGATTACCGCCCTTTTATGCAGGTGCAGTGGATACTATGAAAACCAAAGATGATGCTGGCATGTGTAACTGATGTATGTATCTTAAAAGTTAATTTCCTTACCTTGTTACTATTCCAGTTTACTTTATTATTGCTCATTTACTTTTTTTGCATTTCACTTAGGTTAGCCATAGCCAATCTAAACAAAACATTCATTTTATTAGTGTGCACAAAGTTCTTCAGGATGTCACCTATAAAAAAAAGCTCCTGTGTCCAGACTGGGGACAGTGCAGAAGAGGTATCATTTGAAAATGATCATCATCATTAAAATGAAAGAGGTAAATATATTTAAAAACGGTTGAGCTTCCCTTGAGAATGTGTTCCAAGCCTAAATGAACCAGTTTTATTTTGGATGATACCTTAAAATTTCATTAGGGGTTCCACTCACTAAATGTCTTGCGAAAGTAAGGGGCTCTGTGCTATCACAGGTGATCTAGGAGTAGCCTATATGGGCAGGTGACACTTGGAAATCACTAATACTTGCTGCTTGTTAACTGTGAGGATTAAAACTCCCCAACCATGCCTACAGAACTATCTACTCCCCAACATATGAAAAGGAGTGCAATTACATTTCCTAAAGTAAAAGACAATCTTCTCCAGTGACCTCAGGGTGTATTAAAATGAGTAATACTGAACAACAGGATATTAGGTCCACTTTGGTTTGTGACTAAGATTTATGATGGGATTTATAACATGAGATGGTAATTCAGTCTTGTTTGAAAAATACTGCAGCTGCTGTGTGGTTTGTTAAAAAACCCAAACAAAACAGCAGAAAATTCAGGTGCTGGAAGATAGAGGCCTTGGAGCATTGCAAATCTCTGCCTGCAGGTGGCCAGCTAGTTTTTATAGGAATGATGCCATGAAGAAATAGAGCAGCAACCTCCTTCTGCAGACCCAAAAATGCTCTGGAAAAATTTTGCCTATACTGATAGTGAAATCCTCTTAGTTTTACTGTGTTTAGGATGTTACCATATATGACTACACAAACACTCATTTCTTATGAGTTCCATAAAGAATTAAAAATACCTCTCGTTTTCATGCAGAAACGTTATTTCTGCAAGGTGCTCAACTGAGAACCCAAAAGAGCAAGCCTATCCACAGAAATGGATGTAATAAAAAATGGCAAAGACAGTTCTGTGTGATAATGCTGACAGCATTTTGAGTATCCCAGACTCTTTGCAGGGGAGGAATAAAAGAAGTCTCTCTGATGTCAAAGCCCCCATTACCAGTACTATGGCTGCTAAAAGGCTGTTCTGGCCTCAATATTTGCCCATTAAACAGTAAACAGCCACCACATATTAACAACTTGCAATCTTTGCAGGATATTAACTGCTAACCTCAGTGGGTAAAGTGAGTATTATCCCCTCCTGGAAGGTGAGACTTGTTCTTTCCCTTCTGTATGTATCTGAAAAATAGGCATCTGGGCTCCCTCCAGGGCCATCAGGAAAACTAAATCCCCCAAGAGTGACTTATCCTTTTCTTCAGCGCTAACTGCAAAAGCAGCATAAATCACTCAAGCTAGAGGCCCAACTTTTAGCTGGATGAAGTGTAGTGACACAAACCTTACTCTCACTGTTTAAACTGACTCCAAGGTACCCCAAAACCACACCAGATTCTTTCTGTGAAAGGTGAGCCAATTTAAAGAGTCCAGCTCACACTCAGGTTTTTGTTCTCATGCTTGCACGTACCTGGTTAGGTGCTTCTGGTGGCATGGGGGATGGCGATTTGGACTGGAAAGCATCCTGGGACATGAATCCAGAATCATGGGAGGACACACTGGACAGCCTCATGGGTGCCTGCTGAGGCAGATTGGAGCTGCGATAGCGATAGTGTGAACTAGGTGAGTGCGAGTGCGAGCCACTGGACCGGGAATCACTACTGTTAACGCTGTTCAGACTGCTGTGAGAGACAAAAGGAACAGAGAAAGGAAAGGGGAGAGGAAAAGACACAAGGGTGGGGTGGGGAGAGACCCATATGCAGTACAATTAACATTCCACATGTCTCTAGCAACAGGCAGCATAAACCGGAAAAGAAAAATATTGACAAATTAAAAATATATATATGCACATATATATCAGTAAAGAACTACAAGCAACTGCAGTATCCCTGGTGACCAGAGAGAAAATGGCATTTTACCTTGAATTTCACTCACATGATCAAATCTGTAACCACTCAGAGTTCAAAGCTGGGTTAGGGATGGAGGGATTGCTACATGCCCTCCCTAGCATTTGCACAGCACTTGCTCAAAAAGTCTCTGCTGACAGCCCTCTCCTATTCCTGACTTAGACCTTGTTGCCTTTGCACCACGGCCCAAATATGCACCAGAATTTCTAGCAGGGTGACCAAAGGCACTGCAGTTCATGTAAGAGTCTGTCTCTAGGCATGTCACTGCAGACAGTCAGCAGGACAACGTGTGAGACCATCACCAAACCCCCCACGCTCCAGAGTACCTGGGACAAGCTTTGCTCACATGAAGGCTTCCTACCAGAAAAAAACATGTGATGGCATATTGAGTGAAGCCAAGCCACTGGGTATGGAGCTCTAGTTAGTAAGACAGTCAGAGAATTAAAACCCCAAATTAATATCCGTGTTAAAAAACCCAGTGTGATGCTTCAAACAAAGAGATGTATTTTTACTCCTCAGTATCCATGAATGACAGTAAGGACATGCCAGCCGCAACGTGGGAGCCTGTGAAATTTCCTGCTGGGGTGGCTGAGCAGGACTAGCAGGATGTACCTGTAGGCAGCTTTCTACCCCCACTGGCAGGAGCCTGGCTGAAGGAATGGCTCTGTAGGATATCTGGGTGAGGCCTGCACCTCCTGTTCACAAATGCCACGTACACAGAGGATGTACAAATCAGTTTGGAGCAGAGAAAGAGAAGATCTGCTGAATTTTACCCACAAATACTAGTCCATGCCACAGAGATTTTACTGCTCAAGAAGATGAAGTTCATTAGGAACAGATGATGAAATTTTGTTGGTTTGGGGGTTTTTTTGCCATTTTCTTTTATAGCTTCAGGATATTGCATCTTTAAGCCTGTGCTCATTGCTCTAAATATGCATGTTTTCACATATATATATATAAAAGTACTGACATTTTTTATATATATCCGCATGCAGAGACAAGTAGGTACATAGAAGTGGTGTTCACTTGCTCTGACATGCTGTAGGTAACTTTGCTCATACACAGAGAACCTGTAATACATTATTCATAAAGCAAACTGAAAGGTAATCATTTGAGAGCAGCTAGAGAGGTGTTGAGCAGAATACACAACAGGATATCTTCCTTTTCAATAAAAGGAAAGAGTAAATGTGGACACCAGGTATGAGGGCAACATGCTAATAAACTGTTTTATGAGAAAAAACAGTTTTTACAGAGAAAGCATAGACAGAATCCAGTGTTTCAACATATTTCAGGACAGCATTAGACAGCATTAAACAGTCAAAAAAACTTGTATCAAAAAAGCATTTCCATCTACCAGACTCATAGGGCAATTGCCAAGGATGTTTTCCCTTTTCAAACAGTTTAACTTACTGATTAGTAACAGCTACTTAGAATAATCTAAAAAGTCATCACATGAAAAACAGAAAAGGAAATTATGAATGAACAATCTTAGAGCTTAGATCAGTACAGTCTGCTCTTTGATCCAAAATGGATTCAAGAGAACTGAACCAAAAACATCTTCAAGTTGTCTTGAGTTCAAAAGTTGTTCAGTCATGCCCATCCTTTTTAATATTCCCAGCACACACTTAAACGAGTAACGACCAAAAGGGACTGATTTCAGTAATACTTATTATTTAAGATTTAAGAATGTATACAAATCCATATCACAGTTTGAACTTGCCTCCTGTTGCCCCCAAAGAGGTTAAAAACAAATATTACCAATCGACTTACCTGCAAACACTAGATTTTCTGGACATGGTAGTACTGGGAGAGGATGGAGGAGTCTGGTAAGACCAGCTGTAATCAGAACCTTTCAAATCTAAAATTACCTGATGAAAGATAATCAATAGCATCAAGGATGTGGAAAAATTTTACCCCTATTAACAGAAAACATCTTCTTGTCATTCGTCACCACTACGAACTTGCAGTGCCAATTGACTCAGTCTCAGTCCCCTTCCAGAATTACACTGTGTATATAACACAGGAGAGTCAGCTTCATCCTTGGTTTTCCAGGAACTAACATACTTCAACACTAGGGCTGCTATTACAGAAGGAAAGTCACATTTGAATGGAAAAATCTTAAAAAGTAAACTGGAGATTTATTTCATGCATTCTGGAAGCTGTTTTGTTTGGGTTTTTTTTTTTACTTTTTAAAAAACCATTATGGTCTTAGAGTTGAAGAACTGTTGCATTTTAAAAAATTAGCTGAAGATCCAATACTCAACCACAACAGAGCTTTACACTTCTAAGTCAATGATATGACAAGAAAACTGAGTTAACACAGCAAGGCTGGAGAAAAACGTCCTATTTGGATTTATTTAATGACACACATTTTTCTATGCATTTTAAGGACCGCATGGAAAAATGCTCAAATGCTAGACTCCACCAAGCTATCCAATCCCAGCAATCTTGCAACTACATAAAGACAGGGATGTTGAAATGTAGGGTGAGGACATGACACTCATTCCTCATACACTCTCAACAGAAATCTGGCATCTTCATATACTTCCAAGTGTACCAAATACTTCAGGGGCACTAAGCTGGTACTTCAAGATAATTTTTTTGAATTGCTTATGTTAAAAATGACCTTGCTGCAGAGAAGCATCTACAAAACATAACATTAAGCCACTAAACACCAGTACTCAATATCCCTCATAACACAAAAGGAAAACTGGTGCAAGCTACAAACAAAAATATTTTCCAGGCAACAAGAGCTGACCTGTTCACTTGAGGATGGCAATTTGTGTGGATCCATGGTAAGACTTTTCAGGTCATCTGATATGGTTTGTAAATGGGTTATTTCTCCTAGCATTGATATTTCTTCTTCCTGAAAAGACAAAAGGGCAAGGCTAATCACAGCCTTGGTTTTAAAAATCAGACCCGTAACTCAACACACCACCTTCTTCTTTTTGCTGATGACTGCAGGGATGCCCAGTGAAGCCACCTTTTCTTTGCCCATTAAGCAGTAACTTCTTATGAAAGAAGCTTGAAAATATTAGAGTTCTGTAACTACTTTAAGATTGTTGTAAGTTCTGAGGCCCACAAATCTTTCTCTCATCAGCAAGATAAATAAGTCTCAGCCTTCTTTTTGTGACGTGTTCAGAAAAAGAGTGTCAGTTTTGCTGCATTTGACAAATTTTAACTCTTCTATGTATAGGCACTAATGTGCCCTAAAGATTTTAACCCTGAATGTAAACAGGGGTTAAACTCGTACTCTTTGCTAGTTTTTGAAACTTAGAGATAAAGGCACTATACAGGTACAGACCACTAATATATCTATGATTCCTTCTGGCTCAAATTACATCAACAACTAACTCAGATGATTCCTGGACTGTAAACTATACTACCATTTCCTCCAGGTCCTCCAGAGTCTGGTATTCACCTCTTCCTGCTCAGCCATCACCTTCCTATTTCTCTAACTACAGTTTTCTGTTGAGAGTGGTGCTCTTTGTAAACAAGCACTGGGAACATATTCCCAGTACGCCGGTGACCCTTCAGAAATGCATCATGCTTGCATAAAGCCACAAATGATTCCTTGTCGAGCTTCAGACAACCTGAGATGATGAAAATATACTGAAACCTTTTCAATGAACTGAAAACCTGTCATGTAGCAGGAAAAGAGCTATCAAAAAACTGCAAGGAAGCAGCCTGCAATCTGTCAGATAATGCCATTATATAAACAGGGGAGGTCTTGAAACATTTATCAGTCCTAGCACTGGAGTAGGAGTGAGGAAGATTTATATTAAAATGTGATGTTAAGAAGAAAAGCAGTGGAAAAAACTGCATTTGCAATGTCTCAGGTTGAAATTCATAGGGAACACAAACTGACTTTAGTCTTTGTGCCCACTGTTTACCCATCAGTCATCCTGAAAGTATTCGGTGTCTTCTATCACTGAATTACTACAAGCGCCTACACGAAAGGTCCCAATTCTCACCACTTGCTCGATAGAGATGAAGCTTAATTTTTGCCATAGAAATTAATTCCCAAGGCATAACAAGATACTCTTTTGAGAGGTTTTTGGCCACTTATCTAATCTGTGAATTGTACTGATTTAAAGCAAAGAGCTCTTACTATCACAGGGCGCAGCATCGAAATGAAAGCACAGAATCGTCCGCGCTCCTCGATCAGAGCCTTTCTGACAGCTTGCTTCTCAGTTTCTTCAAGCAGCAGGTACTTATCATTGACATCTTGTAAAGCACTATCCAACTGGGGCTGAATGTCACCCCGTCCTGTATGCAGGAAAAAATCAAGAGTACATTTTGTCAAAACTGTGGATCTCCATAAACGACCTTATTTTCAGCCAGCACTGTTGCCAGATTGCAATTAATGTCTCAACCAGCATTTTATCTTAATTCAAGTTAGTAAGGGTTTTTTTCCCCCCCTAATTAAGTCAAGCATTTCAAAGCATTTATTTTTTCCCCTTTTGCACAGAATAGACATACAGTTCAATTTAAAAGGTTTCAACAAGCCAAAGACAGCATTTGAAAGAAGGACTTTCTCAAAGCATTACTGTAGTAACTGTTCATATCATCCTTGCTGAAAACCAACATCTTACTAACAGGGAGAGTATTAATCACTAATCCCAGGTAAACTCCTCTTCCTATTTTTGTGCTTAACAAGGTCCTAATGACAACTTGTGGAGCCACTAAATGAATGAATCAATCTCCCATATAAGATACTATTACGACATGTTACTGATCATTGGACCACTTGACTCAAGTACTCTGCACAAGCAACTGCTGCAAGTTTTCTTCATTCCAGGGTTCAAACAAAACCAAACCTATCAACATAGGTTATTAACGTATGTATTAATGTCTAATATCTGGCAATGGAAATAATAAAATTCCAACATTTTGCAAACAAAAAGCTTCACTGTGTTAATTACAGTCAACTCATAATACCAAAACTTTCTGTGACAGGTAAATATCTTATTCTGTACCAACTGCTTACTCTGCATCATGTCAAAAAATATTCCTCTAGGAATGAAGAGCTGCTGCCTAGACATACTATTACTGAACCAATAACATTTCAGTTGCAAGATATTTTCATGCAGCTTACACTCCTAAATATTTTGAAGAACTTTAGTTGTATAAATTTGTTGCAAATCTCCCAGGATCCAGGCACATATCCATACCACTGTTGCTAAATACCAGGGAGATAACATTGAAAAATGGTGAGTGAGTTACAAGCAGCTACCCAAAATCAATTTTTACGGACAATAACCCTTCTGCATGGAGAATTTAAAGCTATGAGCAAGAGGAAGAAAAAAGTCTCTTGACTTGTGCAGTACACAATGCAGATGACTTAATGTCAAGGTCACAAAAGAAAACCTTTGCCTTACTATCATTTGTATTTCCTTAATACTCCTTTTCCAGGCAAAGCCATTAGCTCCCCTGCACTGATGCACAGCCAGAGCTGCAGGAAAAGAGAGCAGCAACGGAAGCAAAGGGAATCACGCTGGCTTAGTGGCATTACAGGCTGGATATATCCATATCTCCTCTGTACAGAGTTAGACATAGTCCAGATAAAACTGCACAGACCCCACATGCAGAGCTGTGTGATGGATCCTGGAAGAATCACATGCAGTGTAACATGGACATGGCCACTGCCAAGGCCACCTGGGTACTAGACTGCCAACAGAACACCCACTGCCGGATCCTGCAGATCAGGCTGGCTGCTGTAATTATGGTCATGAAACTGTTTCAGAAGTAAATAACTTTAAGAGTAACAGACTCTGAAGGTGCAGTCACCTGCTTTCTCTCTCAAAATCAGCATCTCCCAGAAACAAGTTATAAGAGAGCTCTGGGTAACATCCTGAAGGTCCTGTGCCTTCTTGTCTGTCACTCTCAGGAGACATACTGGGCCTTCCTGCTTGAAGACCATTCTGTATGCTTCAAGTCCCTCCCCATACTCTCCTTTGCCATCAGATGCAGCAGTTAAACATTTTATACTTCTCTGGAGTTGTTATTTCAAATTCCTTTTGGAACAGAGACTTGTATCATTGCTCAGACCCCTTTTGAGCGTTGCCTGGAAATTACAACAGGTGAAACAATCTCCTGTTGTTCAAACCGAGACACTACCATGGATGTACCAAATGCAAAATATATTAGTTGCAAACGAAATCACACACTCATTAGTTCAGCTCTGGAGAACTGCTGTAAATGTTAAGCTGCTCCACCATATGATCATGCACGTAACACAGTAAATCCTTGTTAAATGCATTCACTTGAGCACTGAGAACACACACACTTAGAAAGTAACTGGACTCCATTGATAAAGTGGGTTCAATTACAGTGAATTTTGGTAATTTAAGTGGACCTCATAGAGCACCATGTCTTCAACCAGAACAAGAGCACCCAAAACCTGGGGCAAAAATAAACTCAATTTGCACCCGTGTAACTCACTAAATTCAATAAAGTTATCAGGATAACATTCAAGATGGTATTTTAACCCCTCAGCAAGGGTACATATAAAACTGCACCCCTCTCCAACATTCTCTGTACCTCTACAAAATTTCCTTTATTTCTTTCAGTGAGTCAGCACATTAACAGACACACCACCTCCTCACTGCTACTTCCGCAGACCCGCTTTAATGCTCTGAGGCACTTGGGTAGTCAGTGAAAACACAGAAGCTGCCTGGGGTATAATTCAGAGCAGGAAACAAGCTTAGGAGAATCATTTAGATGAGGCTCTGAAGTCAGATGTTTACATGGCATGAACACAGCTCTCTCCCAATGACTCCTTGCAACTCATCCTTTAGGAGCAGGAAAGCTTTATCAACATCCTTTGAAAGCTCCACAAAGCAGACATCAATCTAACAAGTCTTTTGAAAGCAAGCATAGCTCTTCACATTCCCTGAATTGCCAGCTGCCTCCCATGGCACTCAGAGAGCTCATTAATTTGAGTGATGAGATCTCTGCCCAGTTAAACCAGTTTCCTTAGCTAAGCAGAGCAGAGCCAATCCCCTTGATAGCACTCCTATACTATACAGAGGACACAGAAGGTATGAGGACCAACTGCTCATCACCTCTGCTCCTCCTCCACCTTTGGGTCTCCACTGCTTTGAATCTGCTACTTATCTCAAAAGGGAATACTGACCACAGGAGAGCAATGAAGTTCTTTTCCCCTTTGAATTATGAGAGGAAGGCCACCTGTCCATGGCATCTCTGACAATTGATTGCAATATTTTTACTATGGACATGAGGCACATTTTAAGGAACATCAGCAAGCGATTATTTTTTCCAGCCCACTCTCTTGCCTTTAGGTTATGCATTCAGAAACATTTCCAAACCAACGCAACCACAGTAACGACATCAGATAGTTCCAGAACTCATCATGGAGCAGCTGTAAAAGTGCACCTGGAAGGACATTCCTGCCTCAGTTGCAGGCAGGTTTGAGTGACCTACCACATCAATCTGCAACAGTAATGGCCAAAACCATCAAATATAGTCACAGGTCTCTCTGGTTTGCAACTAGCCAGACGTGAACAAGGTGTAGGGATGGTTCTGCAGAGCATGTCCAGCTGCACTCAGAAGAACAAGTCAACAACCTAAAAACTGAGGAGGAATTCAAATCCAGCCTTTCTCAAAATGGAGCTCTGGCAATGCAGAGAGGAGCAGAAATGCAAGACCAGAAGTTGTGGACTGAATTCTCCAATAGCCTGGGGACTTGCGGCTGGACCACAGGCAAGTAACAGCTAATCCAGTGCAGGGAGCTGAACTGCTTCTCATTAAAAGTAACATAAATCTGCTGCTACTTCAAGGACAGTTTTAATATGTTACCTTCAGAGCAGGTGCTCCACATCATTACCGTGACATGCAAGAGCTTTAAAGGACCAACATGCACTAAAAGTTCCATTTTACAGTGCTTTGTGTGAATCCTGGCTGAAAGTCTCATGCAATTTCTGAAATAACCACCATTTAAAAGGAACTTCAGTAAAGGGAAAGTATTAGGGAGAAAGAAAAAGGCAAATCTCATTTTCAACCCAATTTCATGTCTATTTTATAAGATAACTTAAACTAGCAAAGCTCTCAGCAACACCAAAGCAGAACAATGATCTTTAAATGCTTCAGTGCAAGTCAGACTGCTAAAGTTAATGCTGTTATTGACAAAGTAATGCAGCAAATATTGGTGAAACTATTATTTTCCATGTTCTCACTCAAAGATTGCTTCCTTGCACTTTTTTAAGTGTCTGCACAGAACTTGAATATTCAATATTGGACACTTTACAGAGTGGCAGAATTTACACTGTATAAGATAATGCTGAGTACACCTCTACTTGTACAAATCAAAGCAGGCTCCAAGTCATTCATTCCCAAACCACCTTCTTTACAAGAGTACACCTGCTCCAGCTGCCAGGATGAACAATCCCTCTAAGTTTGCACAGTAAAGACAACAAATCAACTAACACGGATCTGGGCTGAGAATGAAAGAATTCTGCCACCATTTATAGAAAGGTGGAAAACCACATAGCTGGGATTAATTTCAGACTCCTTCAGAAACCAAATCCGAATCTTTCTGTTGGCTACTGGAGATCTGAATCAGCTGCTAATGTTCAAAAGTGCAAAGGCTTCCTTTAACAGAAAAATTCCAAGTTACTCAATGAAGCTTCAAGATTGAATTACAAACCAGGAAAACCACAATGTGTAATTCAAAAAAAGGGGACAAGCAGCAGCTCCAGGAGCCCAGATGAGGCAACTTGGTTGAGAAGCCTTCTAATCAATCCAAGCAATCCAGAGGCCAATCTAATCAATTCAGGGTTCTTCAAAGGGAACAGCTACATCACTACGCTTGCAAGTGGAGGTATGATTACTTCTCTCAAGTTCAGAATCATGGCACTTCATTCACAAGGAGATCTCAAGGCAGCTACTTTAAATTTGCAATACAACTGAAACAGAACCTCAATTCAAACATACTTGAGGTGTGATCAGGCAACAGGAGAAGAGACAATCGTGATGCTGAATTCCAACCCATTCCCCAGCATGAAGTAAATATAGTGATTTCTTATCCATCAGGTAAGAAAGATGCATGCGATTTTCAGAAAAAAAGGGGAATTTGGATCACAGGTTACAAAGACCAACACTAAGGACTTTAAGCTCTAGACTTTAAAAGTCATATTAACAATAAGATACTCAATTATTTAAACATCACCTTGATGACATGTCTATTCCATTTAACTTCTCTCCCAACTGTGACATGATTTATCTGTCCATGTTAATCCCTTTCTAAAATAAACCAGAGGTTTATATACAATACTGATTTTCTTCTTTTACCAGTGTTCCAATTAGATGCCAAAAGAAAATAAATCAAAAGATGCTTTGTTCATTAAGATTAGGCAAATTTTAGTTTCATTAGAAATTAAAGTCTAGGCAGTTAGTGGAGACCAGACACCATAAAGAGGCCACAGCAAGGGCTACAATGAACCAGCCACCAGGGTCACAGCATGGCACAGACTTACCCAGAGCCTCAGCTGTCAGGCAGGTGCGCATGGTGAGAAATTGCAGGACACAAAATTGACACAGAAAGGAAAATAAAAAAAGTCAAACTGGTATTACAGCATTCCTAGAATTTAGACATTATCATCAGTGCCAAGAAAAAAGAGTGAGCAGTTTGGACTAGGCTATTCTGACCTCCTCCATTGCTGATAAAGACAAATGCATTAGCTTTGCTTCCTGGTGAGCTGTTGTAAGTCAAACTTCTGGTTATTTACCATATACAGTTTTACTTTAAGAGATTTAAAGAGATTTAAACCAGTTTAGACTCCTCGGTGAGAACACATTAACCTGTGCTTCAGAGAAAGTGCACAACACAGATAAACGTCAAGACTCTGGTCAGGTTGATGAAGTGGCAAAAAGCTCATCACCCTCACAGGGAAGAGGGAACTCAAACTTGCAGAACTCTGGGCAGGTGCTGTGTGAGTAACCACAGTGCTTTTTGATGTTCTCTACTGCAATTACATTAACAGATTGTTAATTAAATTAAAAGCTAATTGCTGATGCAATGTGGATGAACATCAAAAAGATTAACTATGATATGTGTATTTTAATTAAAAAACTTTTTATTATATGAAGTTTTGCAATAAACCTGGCTTGCCGTCAAAAAGAGGGGAACTATCAAGAGGCATTCAAAACTCAAGGAATGAAAGTAAATCAAAGAAATGTCTTCAGTCACTGATTTAGCAATGTGTCTTCACTGCATTTTTGTGAAGTAGAGCTTACATTATAAGCTTGTAGGGAAAAAAAACCCAACAACAAAACACCAAAAAGCCCTGCAGGCACCACGGCCTCATTCACACAGGACATTTTCCCTGCAATAGATAAGGATAATTTGCTCATTAGCTTCCCTCCTTCTGAGCTGCATCATATTGACTCCACAGTGAGTCTTGGCTCTCACTTCCCTCATCATGCTACATTTGATCAATTTAGAGGAATGAGGTTATCTCCTGCAGAGGAAGGGTCTGGCCAGGGGTTCCCCATCCCCAGTCTGTCACTCCAGATAGGGTAAGTGCCAAGTACAAAAAGAGTGCAAAGCACTTGAATGAGAAGGTCGGCATTTGCTTCAAGAACTGAGACATCCTTCAGTTATAATTGTGTTGAAGAGCTTTATGTTTTGCAGTTAAGAGTCACAGGGTTTGCACAACCATCCTTTAGAGGAGTATAGCAATATTACAAAGACCAGAGTGTAACCCAAAAGCAGCTGCGAAGGCCCTAAAACACAAACAGGTCATCTTTGCTAATGAGGAGAAGGAAGAAAAAACCCTTTTAGCAGTATTACAGTAAATTAATAATCATGTTCTGCTCTCTCAATTTCATTAGAATCACAAAACACTTTCCAAGACTGCTGCATACTCAAAAAGAGAGGCTGTCAGTTTGGATACCCAATGTTGAGATGGGACACAAGAAGAAATGTTGTACTGAATGTTAAGGCAATTCTGCAGAAAGTTCTACAAATGGCATAGAGATAAAATTCAGTTTATATATTAACATGTGTTATATTATTGCGAGTGTTACATATAACTCTTCTCGTATCCGCTTGGATTGAAACATTTTTCTCAAAGCTCACACACAGTGTCACATGAAGAACCTGAAAATGAAACCTACCAGTCATGTTATAGGCAGAAGGGAAACCTGTCCAGTTAATCATTAATAGCCAAGCTGAAATACAGAAGATAAAGCCAACATGCACTCCAGATTTTACATATACATTCAGATATATTTTAATTTAGTCACTTGATCCTTTTTTAGTTAAACTAAGAATCATGCATTTTGTTAACCTTCCCAAATGGTTACATGCAGAGCCACAGCTGCTATCTCTCTTCTGAATTCAATATAGCATCAACAGCTTCTAGTAGCTATGGATCCACTTATGAGGCCCTGACTCAGCAGAAACCTAAACATGGAATTTATTTTAAATGTATGCATAATTATTCTGCTGACTCAGGTTAGCTGGGCTGACTTCTGATGGCCAATGTTTGTCTGAAAACAAAGGGCAATTTAGAAGATGTATGCAGTTCCATGCACTACACAGTTTTATCTGTTCAGACAAGAGCTAATTTTCAACACTGAGATGTTGAGGCAAGAAGCCCTACAGGCCTGCTCCCCATGGGAACAAAGGTCCTAAGGAAAAGGAGGTACCTTAAAGATCACCATGACATCCTCAGGGACTGGATGGATCTGGTTGGTACACCAGAATCCTATTTAGACTATACAGATTTAGCTTCACATGGACCTTTTTTTTTTAATAGTCAAAGACAACAAATAGAATGTAAATTATCTCTATGAGGTCTTTTGAAGTGTAAGACCTTAATTTACACACAGACATGTCGCTTTACTAGATATACTCTAGCAAACTCCTCAAAAGGACCCTGAACATCCTTTTGTTTTGTTTGGAAAGCTTGGTGTTTTCTCCATCGCTTCAAGCTTTGGAAACACCTTTACTGCAACTAACACACTTACTCAGAAAACATAATGTCTAATAAATGATCTTAAGTGCCCAGCCTGAACTTTCAACTTGGCCGCATGGAACCAGAACAAACAGACCACACACAAGCCAGGGCACAGGCAGACCCCCCATGTATTCGGCCCCTCAGTAGGGTGTCCAACCTGCAGTGCTCCTGCCACAACAAGCCACGCAGCCCAGGGCCCTCTCTCCTAAATGTCCTTGGGATGCAGACAAGGAGCTGCTGTGCATGCTGCAGCCATCACCTACGAGAGAGAGCCTCCGCAGCTCAATGCGACAGGGCGAGAGGACACCCCTGCCGTGATGTGAATGAGGAAAGTAGAGGGTTATATTTGAGTTCCTACATCTGAAGCTGCCCAAAGCAAAAGAAAACCACTTTCTCATCCAGTCACAGCAGAATAAGCTTGAAGGACCTTTTTTAGTAGCATGCACAGTATTGAAGCAAATCCGGAATTCAGCAAAGATCTCACTTGCCCACAGATGATCGTAAGGTTAATTCAAAGATATTCTTACAAGTGCTAGGAAGGGAAGGAATTGGTTGTTTTAGAGTTCCCATAGGTGAGTCAGTAATTTTACAGAAAAATCAAAAGGACAGGTCCTGCTTGAGGAAGAACAGAACAAAAAAAGTAAATCTGAGCAACAGGGAAACGAGAGTTGAAGACACAATAAGACATTCATGCACTCAGCCACATGCCTGTCAGGAGAGTTTCACCCATAGTTCCCTGTCCACAGTTCAAACCTCATTTATGACCTAAAGTAGAATCACTTCTGCACTCGTGTTATGAATAAATAAACCCCTTCTTGATTATTTTTATCCCTCAATAATAGCAAAAGCAACATACTTCATCACACAGGACATTGAACAGATCTGTCAGGATGGATACATACAAAAAACTTTTTCATGACGACATCTGACATTGCATTCAGACCAACACTTTATTTCCTCAAGGTAGGGATCAAAACAACAAAGAGGGGGAAAAATCTGCTATGTTTTTTTTTCTTCTGTATTTAAGCACTGTAGATAACTTGCAAGAAGGTAGGGAGAACTTCGTTGGACCTCCTGCCCACTCGTGCTGGGAACCCACTCGTGCTGGGAACCCACTCGTGCTGGGAACCCACTCGTGCTGGGAACCCACAGGGCCAACAGCTTTGGGCATTCATACTCTCATCCATATGAGCCTCAAGGCCTCCCTGCATCTCTCCTACTCAGGGGCCATGAGAACAACGCTCAGCTCCTCAAAAATATTGCAGCTCCTACTTTTCCCTGTACTGGCTACCTGTGAGTCTTCAGCTCTTCCACCTTCCCCCAACCATGTCCCTCTGTGACCAGCTTTAATCCCACCTGACTCCTATTCGGTTTGTGCTCTGGACCTAAACACCAAGTGCGGGAGAGCAATTCCACGGGGGACAGCATAGAAATACAGCACCTTCAGTACAGCTCCAAAAGTATGTCAAAATAGCAAAATTAAGTAAGGGAATGACATTTTAAAAAAACTATGAAAGAAACAAAGAAAGCTTCAATCACACCATGGCTGCTGCAACAATGATGGCAAAATGAGGCCTGTTCCACTCCCCACTCAAAGATGCTTAATCCTGAAGGAGGACAAGACACCAGTTTGCTAACCCTCGTCACAAGACTTGGCTCACATTTGGGGAGGAAGATATGAACCCAGAAATCCAAGGACTATGTCTGCTTGCTTTAACCACTGCTGACAGATGCAGGTGGCATCTGCAATATGAGAACAGTGGGTTGGTTTTTTTTCCAGCAGCTTTTAAGTTCTTCTCTCTCTGCTTCACACTTTATAGAAAATTATGTCTCCTTCTTCAATATTGCAGATGGATTTATTCAATACCCAGAAGAAGGATAAAGGGGAGCTGGAGCCAGACAGCTGTCATTCCATAGAAACAGGGTCAAAAAATGGCTCCTTCTTCACAGATCCCAGACAACCACCCAAACCATTCTATGCTTCAGTATTTTTCTCAGTGCTCACCTACCATGCATTGATGGGTTGTTTGTAACACACGTGGACAAGAAGATATGAGACTAGAAAAGGAGGGAGAGACAGGAAGAAAAACTGAGGAAATATTACACACTCTCTACAGATGTTGGTCTGAAGTCCGACAATTCATCACAGAAAATGAGAAACATGTTTACACATCACCCAAAATCAAAATCTTATCTCAAAAAGTCATGTTCCTCTAACGATCATCATTCTGATTTTAAACACTAAACTTCTGACAGACAGACACACAAAGCCTAATGAGCTAAGCTCCCTCTTGCTGGTCTCCACCTCTCCTTTCCTCATCTCTCATCTAACATCAGCTAAAATTCAAGAGCAGTTTTCCAGTCATGTGGCTTTCTACCACTGTAATTAACTGACTCACCTATTAGGAAGGACAGTCAGAGACAGCTCACCTGTTCTGGGTAACACTTATACAATTTCAAAATTTCAAGAAACTCCCCACCCTAGTATTTATTTTGCTCATCCGTGGGTTCACTGATTTTAGGCAGGAGGGGAAGGACAAGTTCCAACCTGCAGGCTGAGAGCTGCTCAAAGCACACTTCCAACCCTGCTGCTTCCGACCCACTGCGGAAAAGGGAACCAGGGAGTCTGCTTCTGTACAAGCTCCCTATCACTGTTCCAAAGCCTGGTGGGGTTTGCACTTGGCCAAGTAGAAGCCTTAGTGATGGCAGTGTTGTAGCTACCAGTGATGCTTGTTCCCATTAAAATGACAATGAAACCCCTGGGACAAGATGGAGGTGGGAGAGCAACAGGAGCACAAGATTCAGGTACTAAAAAAGACAAACTGCCTTTGGGGAGAACTCCCTTTCTTTTCTCACTCATGTTTAGTTTTCTATGGCTGCCAAGTGCCATCCCCTTGATAACAACCCGTGCCACCTTCTCACATTTTGAGGAATAACGTAAGGTTTAGGACATCACAGACTGTCAAAATAAAAAGAAAAAAGAAGAAAGGTGGTAGAAAGGGAGAACAGTGAGAAATGTTAATAGTTAGAGAACATTTACTTAATGGTTTTTTTTATATTATTCCAAAAGATTCTAGAAAATTTTACAGGTATCTGTACAAGTCATGTTAGAGTGTCAATGCTCCTAAGAAGAATAAGTTAGCAGTAAGGGTTCTATTTTAAAACATGATTGACTTTGTACAAACAGTTTCAAGGCTTTTGCATAAGAACATTAGATGGCAGCTTCAGAGTATGATTTAAATGACACATAGTAATTCTATCCTGGTGTTCAAGTAGGTATCAGGAACACACTAGAGGGGATCGAATTATTATAACAGAAAGTCCTACTGCTGTTCAGTCTTTGTCAATGAGCACAGCCCAGAAGTTTTTTTAACAGTATAGTATGGAGCAAGTTACCTTTCTTTGCTTTCTTCTGTAGCTTCAGTGTGTCAGATGATTTCTTTTTTATCTCTTGGCGGGCTTTTTTGTATTCTAAAAAACACACGGAGTCTCTATTATCAACATACTCAGTGTCAAAATGAATGTTTTTCACAGAAAAGGCTACGGTTGAAGACATTAGACTACCAGCTTTTAGAGGACAGCTACTATCAATCAAAGCAGCTTAGAACTCACATTTTGTAGTGCCTATACATTTGGCTTAATATAACATTTTAGGGTGTGAGCACATTCACATACCAAAATCTTTTCCAAATAAACAAAGCCTTTACAGAAATAACAACTGAGAACACAGTACAAAATTAGAGTGCTTTTCACTTCAGACTCATCCACTCTCAGGAATGGAAAACAGAGATGACAGGTTTCTCGAAACATCTGTGTTCAAAAACAAGCATCCAGAAATGGCAAGGCAGAGAATATCCTGTGATCCCTCTCCAGCATGAGAGTCAGGCGGAGGGAGAGAGTGCTAAAACTTTGCCCAAGGAAGGGTCACATTGCTAGCTCTTTCTGATGAAGTGCAACACACTGCAGTTGTCCTCATTTTTAGATGAGGTGCAAATCCTGGGAGAATTAAAATCCCAGAACAAAATATTCAACCTCTAGTGCAGGGACACTAAAGGTACCAGATACAAAAGCTGATATTTAAAAAAAAAAATCAAAAAAAATAAAAGGTATGTATGCATGTATATACATATACACATACACTTTAACAAAGGAGTCAGTGTTACTACTCTTCTAATAGATGGAAAAACAGAAGTAGGCTGGTGGCAGGCACAACAACTGTACCGAGGCCAACTGCACCCCCAACACCCAAGTCTGCCCACTAAACCCTAAATCTCACTGCCATTTTGGCCAGGGTCACTCCTACCTGCAGGAACCCAGGTGATTCCTCCCTACCTTGCTTAACACTCTCTGCAGCACAAGGTAGAGATTTTATCAAGGACTGCTGATTCAACTGCTTCTATGTGATCACAGTAACAGTGGAGCAAGAAGCAAATCCTCTTTTGGAGGCCAAGCCCACTCCTTCCCATCAGTTCTCACCCTCTACAAAATAAGTTATGGTGCTCTTGCTTCTTTCAGACATAGCAAAAATCGTCAATTTTCAAGTGGTGAACTGGAACCTGCTTTCAAGCACCTGTGCTAGAGGGCCACCATCCCCAAGTAAAGTTTTGCAAAGCCAAAGGCATCTACCTATGCACTTGCTATGCAAGACTGCTGCCTCCTGTTCATTCCCCCCGGAAAGCCTCTGGAGCCATGATCAGCACTGCAGCTCTGGGCATTCCATGTCCACGACACAGATCTCCTGCTCCCGAGGTGCACATTTCTGTGTGGCATCAGGTATAAAATAACGATGCTCAGTGTTTTACAGGGCTGTGCATTCTCTAGAGGACGCTGCGTCGGAGGCATAACATCATCTTACAATTTGCTTTTAACAACACCCCGGGGCTTTGACAGGATAGATGTGGCATCTCCAGTCCTCAGCACTATCGGAGAACACACAGTGAGAGCAGGCTAACAGAGTTAAAACTAGTCACGGCTTATCAGTCAAGGAAACAACCTACCCCTTGGGGTCCTGCAAACTAAACCTTCAAAATGCATAGCAAGGGTTAAAATTTTGTTAGGCACTTTGGGAGAGGAGTGTTTTAGAAGTGAGAAGTTGCTATACATATTTAAGCACATCATTCAGTTCCCCAGTACAAACATGAAAAGAGGAAGAAAAACTGATATTACAATCTTACTCCTATTAAAAAATTCTTCCTCTGTAACTACCTTTTGCATGGTCTTTATCCAGCTGATTGGCCACTTTCTTCCACTCTTCCATCTGTTCTTGAAGTGGGTTTATCAGACAGTCAATTAAAGCACTAATTTTGTTGGAAAAACACAAAGAGCAATCAAATCCTGCAGATGCCCCTATTCTTACAGAGAGAGCCAAGGTCAATATTGGAGTATTTTTACTTTTTGCTGTGACAGCTACCAGTGTCACAATGTAAATATCAGAACATAAAAATGTTTACACTGGAGAAAGCAAAAGAAAGAACTGGATCAAAAAAAAGTAAAAATCCACATCACAAGATAACCAGAATTACTGCGCAGAAGTTCAGGACAGTGAGGAACAGAGAATAAAGCAGAGGAGTGACCCAAAACAGGTCAATGTAAACAGTTAGATCCTACTCAGCTGTCACACAGTTTAAATGGATACTCTGGAGACCAGAAAGGTTCACGAAGCCATGAAGATTATAAACTTAAATAACACATTTATATACACAAGAAGACAGAGCAGTTGTACAACAGAACAACATCCTGGCCAATGATGGGCCTCACCTCGCACCAGTGGAGCCCATGATACAGCACCAGCAATCCTGCACTAATTAATGAGACTGGGATCAAATCATTTAAATAGCTAACTCTCGGGTAACTGGAGACTTAAGTTGTCTCTTCACAGCCAATTTCTTAAAAATCTTTATTTTAAAATAATCACAGAAAAATCATAGAATGTTTTGGGTTGGAAGGGACCTTAAAGGTCATCTAGTTCCAATTCCCTTGCCATGGGCAAGGACACCTTCCACTAGACCAGGCTGCTCAGGGCCCCATCCAACCTGGCCTTGAATACTTCCAAAGATGGTGGGAAAAGGGAAAAAACAAACCAGGTCACCAGCAAATGGTGAAGCATCATTTTTTTTCACCTCGGGTCAAGTATAACTTGCAAGTCTGGTTAAAAAGCACACATGCAAACTACGTACAAATTGTTTTTGTACAGCCCAGCTTACATATGAGCTAATCCTCTCTCATTGTCTCTACAGTCTAACTTCAACAGCAAAAAGGGAATGGGAGAATTTGCCTTTTCCATACTCATTTGCTGAAAGTTTTTTTCTTGGTCACAAGCTGTTTGGGCTCTCCAGTAAGCTGAGGAAGCAGCACAACATGCTGCTGCTGTTTTAGAACTTAGTAACAAAGCTTGAAGTCCTGAAACAAAGACAGGTCAGTTGGTCACATCAGCAGCCGCCTGCTCAGCACTGAGTAACAGGAACTGATAGTGGGAATTTGCAGCATATAGAGGTGATTTGAGGTGACTAGCTCAGCCCCCAGAATATGCAGTGAAATCCTGCATGTTCACAGTACCTAATGTGCTGTAGGGCAGAGTGACATGGGCAGAGATCAGCTGAGAAGCCAATGCTGGTGGACAGCTTTAGGATCAAAGATGAACCTCCAGTGCCAGGCCAGGTAGGGAGCCACTCACCTTGAGAACTGCCGGAGTTTGGACTCTATACTTCTGTGCCTCATACACATCCTGGTGAGAGCAGACCCAATCTCTCTGGTACCACCTGAAAAACAAAAAACAAAAGGCAGGTGAGACCCCGATGAGATTCCCGCCTGTGGTATAGAGGCATAAAAACCAGGAGGCAGGTGCCAAGTCTTTCAGAGCAACTGTAAAACAACTTGCTAGTAACTGTAGAATCAACCAGGCTATTAACGGGGCAGACCTGGTGGGTATCCGCCACCTCGGGAAGAGATTAATTCCTGTTTAGCAAGAGACCAGAACCGAACAATTAAACATGAATAAAATGCAGTTCTTCCCAGCACCTTTCTGTGCCATGAGGTCCAATTCCATGGCAGAAGAGTTAAAAGTGCCTGAAAGATGTCAAGAACCAAGAAGCAAAGCTGGCACAAGGGGAGTGGGCATCTGTAGAGAGTTTATTTACACATTTTGGAAATAAACCTAGTGGATTTAATCCAATTTTCCCATCTCTGGATTCTTTAGATCCAGTGCCTCAAAGGCATTCTGCTCCTCTGGGATATGTGCCCAATCCCACACGCTGCAGGTCCAGCCATTGCCAGGAGGTGGCGCCGTTCGCTGCAGCCCCTCACGCATCCCACAGGTGGGACAACCAGCGGTTTTCCAAGTGTTCCTCCTCCTCCTTCTCCTCCTCCTCCCAAGTTGTGCCTTCTGAAAACACACATTCCTTCATTCCCCACTTCGATCAGCATTACCAACTCTGACCAGCCCATCAAATTTTGATATAACTTTGTTTTGGTTAGTTGCTAGGTTTGGTAATTGCTTGGTTCCCATTTGCAAGTCAAATCTACTATTTTCAGGGTAACAAACATCAACCTTCGTACAAAATGTTTCCAAACTGCAGTGCTCTCTGCAACAGTGAATATATCAGCAACTATTTAAAAGACCTATTTGATTATTAGAATAACTTTGGACTTGTATCACAGACTAAAATCTTCCTTAGACTTTAAAAATGGCATTGCCCAAGAAAAAAAAAAAAACCTCTTCCCAAGAAACTTGAAAATTTTTGATCATTTGAGTTTTTTAAACATGAAAAAAGTCACCATCTTCCTGCATTCTTGTGAAGTTAAGTCCTGCGCCCACAAAATGGCTGTGGAACAAAGACACTAAATAACTGGAATAAACTGCGGCTATTTGGTATTTTCCATTGTTCAAAAAGATAAACAGAAAGTCCTTTGTGACTTGCCCAATTACTCATGTTTTTATAAGGAGCTATTGAAATAATATTATTTAGTAACACTGAAGAGCTGTAGTGTCTCTGCATACGAGTGGTTGGGAATAGCATACGGACTCCAGCACGTGGAAGAGATGGATCCAAACCCATCTCTTCCAGTGATGATGCACTTGCACATGCTGTGACAGACTCTGGTAACTTGAAAAGCAATACAGAAGATGGGGAGAGGTATAACAGAGAGAAAACAACTGGAGAAAGAGGACAACATCCACAACAAAACATCTTTATCCCAAAACATGGGTATTTTTCTCTGGAGCCACTGCCAATAAAAGTAATTTTATTTCAGAGCCCAGTATGGCACAACTCCAATGACAGAGAAGGAGAGAAGGAGAAATGAAGCAAAAACTTCCATGGTCATCAGCAGAGTAATTCTGAATTGAGTTTAAGCAAAAGGTAGGTTTTTCAGGTTGAAAATTCACTGACATACTGGAATACTAAATACTGTCAATAGTTAAGTGACACTGCTTTCCTAAGTCTGTTATATGAAAAAGGAAGGGTCATATCAGAACAATGATAAGGAAATAAGGCACCACATGTTTTGGAGACTAGGAAACAAGGGCCAGTTACTGTTAATATTAAATTGCAAGATAACAGAATTTTACCTGAAACACCAACAACCAAAGTATAAATATATCCCCTCAATATACAGTACAGATGGGCAGCCAAGGGCAGCCAAACACCAATACAAAGTTTGGCCTATACACTGGTAGTTGAGCTGGTTTAAAAAACAAACAAAAACCAAAACAAACAAAAAAACCCAAAACAAACCAAACAAAAACAAAACAAACAAAAAACAAACAAACAAAAAAACAAAAAACAAAAAAAAACCAAAAAACCCAAAAAACCCCAAACCAAAACAAAAAAACCAACCCACAACAAAAATAAATAAAGCCTGGAATAAAAAGGTTATTACATAGAAAAAAAACAAACTAAACTTGTTGGGAATGAGGGGGCTACTGGTTCTTCCCACCTTTTGAAACTTCCTGTTAACCATGAAGTGTTTACAAGAACATGGAAAGATGAGGTGTTAATTTACTTCTGTGAATAAAGATTATTCTAACAAAGTGAAAGTAAAGGGGAAAAAATGGTTTGGAGAAATTTTTAATGTCAATTCTGGAAACAGGGTGTTCCAGAAGATGGGTTTAGGATCCTGCTCAGGAAAGAGAATGAGGGGTGCTGCTGGAAAGTTTGGGAGGGCTAAGCCAGCACCTCAGCTTGGTCAGCATGGACTCAGGGAGGGCTGTGGGGAGTGGGTCAGGGCTGGCAAAGGTCACCGGACTAAAGGAAGAACAGTACAGGCCCATCTTGTCCCACACCTGAATCCCACTGCTTCTCCTAAATGTATTAAGTACTCCAACAGCACTGGAGTTTAACAGAGCTTTACCTTCCCGATCCCAACTATATTAACTGTCACGAATACAAATGCTTCCTGAGAAAGCAAGAAAAAGTTAAATACGGGCCTCTCAACACCCTTTGATTTACTGAGCTGGAGCACTGTGGCCATCACCGATGTAGTCAGCTGTTCTTCCAGGAACACCTGCAGTGCAAAGGATTTATCTCAACTTTCAGAAGGAGATTTCAGCAAAGGCTAGTTCCCACGAGCAGAACTGCACTGATGTTCCTGTTTCCAAATCTGGGATCAGCTGGTTACACAAACTGGCAGGAGGGAATCTGTACCACTGCAGTGGTTTGAAAATATCCAAACATAACAAGGTATGGTAGCTTGGATTTGTTTCTTTCACCCAATCTCAGCTGCAGTGAACAAGAGTAACATATGCTTTACATAAATTACTCACAGCAGCAGCAGGTGGCCAAAGCATGTACTCTGCACACAGAGATGGACCTCACAAGCAGCATTAATGTGTGTGCAAGTCCTGGTATTGGCTACACACCCGAGCAGTCAAAATCTAGGAAGGAGTTTATTCCACTGGGCAATGCCACGGTCATACAAAACTTGCTTCAGCCTCCAACCTAATTTATTGTTTATATTTTCAAATATTTGCTTCAAAAGTGACCAACTGCATACTGACTCAAGGACAGAGCCGTGAGCTGGGCAGGCAGAAGACCAGCGTAGACAACTTCTTTTTCTGTGCCATCAACCCACAGACGCAGTGGCAAAAAGAGCATCTGACAGAGAAGTCCATCAGGATTATGCTGAACGCACTGCCCATCTCCACTTCACTTAAAAACAGGTCTCTGGAAGAAAGTTATGGTATTCTCTGGTATTCTTCAACTTCCCGAAAAGAAATACTGAGGCCACACTAGTAAACTTTTCATCAACCCACGAGTATGTTGGAAGGGTGACCTAGGCTCCATTCACTGCTCTACAGCTATGCAAGTCAAATTGCTGTGCCTGGGACTCTCAGTTTATGAAATGAGGCTGTGAATTATCTGCTTCTCTGACATACCATAATAATTCATCCATTAAGGCAAACAATGCCTGGGAACACTGTAAAGTAATACTTCGAAACCGGAGATGAGAGCTGTATTCATCAGAATTCCCACTCAGAGAAAGTGGCTTAACAAAATGCTCCTGTCAAATTTGATTAGAAAGTGGGTGATAACATCAGCCTGATTTCTCATAAGTAAAAGGTGACTCTGCAAGGCAAAACGTGCTTTTGCTCTCACCTGCTTCTTTCTTTCCTGCCTAAGCCTGTAAAAGATCACAAACTTTTTTCATGTAAGATAATTAAATGAAAGTCTGTGGATCACTACACTACAATGAGTCCACTATAAAGGCATAAATGATTTTCTTTTGATGCTTGTTTGTCATTCAACATTGCAGAGAGACAACAGGGACAGATTGTAGGAAAGAGACTCAATTGTTTTATTGGAGTCATTATGTTTGTGTTTAATGATGATCATATATCAAGGAAATGATTATTTGATGAAATGTGCAGCTGTACAACTGCATGGCCTCTATATAACAACTCACTACAATCAACCTCTTATCTTCCTCCTCCTCCCTTCACTGCTGAGCAACCCCAGCACGCTCAGAAGATGCTGCCTTTCAGGAAGTACCTTTAAGACTCCAACTTGTTAACGAGTTCATCTTTGTCTTCAAGGGCATAGTCCAAATGTTTCAGCTACTCCCCTCTTTTCAAAAAGGGAGAGAATGATGAAAAATGGGTGTAATATGTTTGTAATTTCAAAGTTATCAGAAGAGGCTTTTCTTTTTCAGTAAAGATTAAAGCAGGAGCAGAACGGAGGCTGGATTATTAAATACAACTCTGAACACAGAGGCTATGACAGGATGACTAACAGTAGGACATTTTAAGTTAATGGTCATTACTCAACCCTTATCCAAATTCATGCTGGTAGAAGCGTAAGCAGTTTCCATCACTAATTACATGTGACATGGACCTTGATCTTACAAAACTTTTTATGCAGATGTCTCCATGAAACTCAAGAACGATGGGATCAGTTCCAGGGTGTTACAGAAGACAGAGGAAAAATGAGGGGTTTGGCCTAAAAGTGACTAGCACACGGGAAAGTCACTACTGGGACACAAGTAAGCAATCACTACTGGGACAGAAACCTGGAAGTGGACCTACGGGAGCACTTTATGTTTCAGGGCGTCAGTGGCCTCCAGGTAAGGTTTGTAAGTTGGAAAAACACATCAAGAACTGCAGAAAATAAAAGGATCTTGTTCTGCATCTACCAGTCAGAAAAAGAAAACAGGACACCCTTAGTCCTACAGCTCCTATGAGCCTTTATGAGCAACGCTTTATATTAAAGTTTCTGAAAGCTGCTGCAGCAAAAAAACCCTATTTACTGAACTTTTTTTTAAATTT